GTTTCATTTTGGTTTTGCTGCAAATTCACAAGCATTCGACAGCTGAGCAAAATTGAGAGTGAGAAACCGAATCACTTGATTGCGCTTGTTGCCACTTTTGTAATATTAAAATTTGTATATGGTGCTGTGTATGAGTGTTTTCTTCAGTCACGGTATTTCGGCAAAAATTTAAATTGATTTTTACGATATTACGCAAAAATTCTCAATCTGTACAGTTTTTTTTTTTTTTTCATTTTCGTTGGCTACTTCGGCATCTTCAGCTCCAGAAACCATCAACATCAAACAATAAACGATTACAATCGATTGTAATCCAAACCGAGTCGAATTGAAATCTTTTTATTTTGATAGAGTTTTTGAAATTAAATTAAACATGAACGATATATACACTTAAAATCGTACACAACCGGCCAATCAAAACAAAACAAAATGTACAAGTCGAACTCATTGAAATCGCATGAAAGTTAAACTTCGATTTAAATATAATTTGTTATGAACGAACCAAATAAAAAATTATGAACATGGACATGTTTATTTGGATATGATGTTGAAAACACTGTTCATTTGATCCCACACATACACTTGGACACGTGCACAATGTTGAAGTCATTCAATCAACAGCAAACAGTACAAGGTCGATACTCCAACGAAATTTCCGAAAAGCATCAAAATTAATATAAGTAATCTTCGGTCAACGGATGTTCATATATTTGATTAGTTTATTAACTTTGATTAATTAACTTGAGTTCAATAAATTTCATAAATTTTTGGCAAAAGCCAGAGCAGCAACATTTTATTATTGACTTTGATTAAATGAATTTCCGTTATTCTCATACACACACACACATACACCCATTTATTCAATTTAATGTCTGTGCTCTAAAGCACTTTACTTCCCGCATCCATATTTTCACATGACACACTTCCGATAAAATGCAATTTGTACAACGAAAGTAATACACTCGCTGTTAATTGCTTTGAATTACACAAAACAAAAACGGCAACATTAAAAAAATTCATTGAACTAGAGCGTTTCAAGTGTATAGAAAATGTTTTGTTTTTGTTGCTTGTTTTCATTCTAAACATTTTCGTTTCAATGAGACATTTTAGTAATTGTATCAAGTGAGCGTTGAGATCGGTTTTTTCATCACATTCACATGGGGACCTTATATGAATGTCAACTCTTTTTGGTTGATGATTTTTTTTTCACTTCTCTCACTCTCTGTCAATGAAATGAAAAATAATCAAATTGAATATTCAAAAGTGTCCGTGGGGTGATGTGTGTATGAGTGCTGCAAAGGAGAGCGCGAATGGGCAAAATAAACGAATTTTCAAGTGGATATAATCAAATTGGAATTGATGAAATGGTTTGCATTTTGTCGTTTCTGGCCAATGTGTTAAATTGACTTGATTATTTATACATTGTATTGAAATGAATCGCAACAGAAATGGAAACAAATGTTTATAAAATGGGCAGAGAAACACTTGGTCAACGCAAAAAAAAGAGTCATTATAAAACAAAAACGCCATTGATGACGCATCATTTTGTTGAACCAATGATCTCTCCGTCTCTTTTTCTCTGTCATTAATTGCTCCAACTTCAATCAAAACCGAGTAATATGTGATTTCTTTATGTTTTTGTTGTTGTTTACTGCTTAAATTTATGTGTAGCGCATATTCAAAGCGTCTGTTGTTTCTATATCGGAAATTCGTTATCGTACGTTTAAGAGAAGAAAAAAAATGAACCAACATATGTGAGTTCGCTCTATTTGGCGTGCGGCATTGACGACTTTTTTTATCATGCAAACTTTCTTGAACGGATCGTATGTACATGAATGAATTTGCTGCGCTCTTGTTTTTTTTGTATGTTTCCATTCGTTCGTTCGTTTGGTTGTTACGACATGATCACATCGACGACGCGTTGAAGTATATCGAGTGTTATTTCCGCGTTTTTGAGGCTTGCTGTGCATAAATGACGAACCGTTCTTCAAATCATTCCATAGTTAAGATTTTGCAAACCTGTTCATGTTTGCCGGTGGATGATGGTTATGATTTAGATCGAAATGGTCAGCATTATATGAACATGATTTAAAAATAAATCATACTAGATTACGCTAACGATCATTATGCCTGCATGTGATCGTTTCAACTATATTACGATTAGCAGAAGAAGAAACTAAAGAGGACGACGACGACGAACACACACACAAAAAACTAGTAGCTCAAGCTCGAAAAAAAGAAGCGGATGACGCAGATCAAATTGAAAATGTAATCGATGTATAAATGTAAGTTTGACTGGGCATCGATCGTATCCCGTTCGCTCTATTGGATGGACCAACTAACTCTATCTTGTTCTCACATTCATTTTAGTGGAGCTTTAGAAATATCGTGCGCCAAAACATGAACAAATCTCGAATGAGAGATATAGAGAAAGTTAAAGAGAGATAGAGCGAACGTGAGCAATTCGAGCGAATAGCGATAGAATGAGTATGCCCGATGTGAGGAAAAAAAAGAGTTTAAAAATTGAGAATACATACATGTGCATACACGTTGCACATGTGATGTGCACTGCGTTTTTGATGCAATCAGTTGACAAAAAGGGGAAAAGAAGAAGGAACACAGCATCGGAAAAGAAAATGTCATCACATGTCAACACACTGCATTAGAGTACAATACACAGCCACACACATATATGTTTGGTTTACACAGAACCGAATTCGCTTTCGCAGAAAATGTCAAACGAACTACATATTTGAAACGAAGAAAATGAAGATGCACGAAAAACGGAGAAAGACAGAACGAGAGAGCAATAATAAGAGAAAGAAAGATAGCCAAAAAAACCTACCAAAAATACAACCAATGTGTAGTTTCAGCTATTCTGCTCGAATATTTATTTATATTTCTCACATTCATAAGAGAAGAACTTGTCGCTTTTTTTCCTCTTTCAGATGATCTCTCTCTCTCTCTGTGTGTGAGTAAATGCTGTTTTTGCTTATATTTTCGCTTCTTCGCTTTTTTTTTCTGCCATATCTCCTTTTTCAATTCTTTCAAGTGGCTTCGATGAAGAATTTGCACAGCAAATGAAGAAAAATGCGGTGGAAAAAACGACATCAATCGCGGTTGTATTCAAACACGCGTACTCGTATTGAAACCACACATGTCCGCGAAATATATCATCATCATCATTCAAACACACCACACATCGCATCACATATTCGGGTTGCCATCAACGTTGAACGCGAGGCAAAAGCATAGTTAAGCAATAATTATTCGCGAGCAAAACAAGACAGAAATATATATAAAAACCAACAACATGTACACAAAACGTTGTAAGAACGATGACAAATTGTGTGTAGGAATCGTTTTGCTCATTTCACTGTCTCATTACACGGATCTTATTGTGTTAATGCGAAATGATTTAACCGCCTTGATGTCAGCATTAACGTACCAAGTCCAATCGATTAATTTTCTGAATTTTGGCGACATGAACGGTTTTATTTTGTGTCTGTTTCATTGTATTGATACGTCCTTCTACAAAATTCACTCTGTAGAGACGGAGAGAATATTGCCGCGAACATATTCAGATTTCACAAATAAATGCAGCTGAATGAACCAACGCACAAAAAACTCATTGGAACCAAAGAGAAGAAAAAAGTTGAATCAAAGTTGTGCACTCGGCACATTTTCGGTGCGAAAATCGTAATGTTGCATGACGACGGAATGTGTGTATGTTGTTTCTTATTTATTTTTATTTTATTTTTTCGGATAAATGTTTGATGTCACTGAAATATCTGTATGTGTGTGGTACTTACCATCTTTTGTTGTTGCGGAATTATCACCAGCTGTTGGTTGTATTTTATCCACTGAATAATACATGATTGTGGTAATAAAACAATATCACAAGCAACACAAAACAAATGCCACACTCTCTCACCGAACTAATTTAATCATACCGCATTCAATCGATAGCTATTTATTTATATTTTGTTGATACGATTTATTTACTTTTTCGTTTGATTACTCAAAAGTGACGAATTCTTGTTTAATTTTTGTTTTGTTTTATCTCGTTATATATATATTTTTTTGATTTGTATTTATAAATGGTGTTCACACTCAAAATTTCATTCTTACGAGCTAAACAGAACAAAAAAATATATTTATTTATATTTATAAATCGAAAGAATCTTTCTTTTATTTTGCTTGTGTGCCTTTGTTTCTCTTTTGTGTGTTGTTTGATGTGGTTCTGAATTTTTGATTGTTTTATAATTTCGACACACGCTCACGGTCTTCAACTTGGTTCTGTTTGTGTTTTTGTTGGTTGGTGTTCTTCTTTACTTTTTCGAACAGGAAAAAAAATGAAATAAGTTTCTATTTCACACACGAATTTATTATTATTACTAGTTTTCCCTTAAATTTCTACACTCCTTATCTGGCTCTCTCACTCATTCGTTTATCACTTTCGTTAGCGTGTGATTTTTTTTTATTTTCGTTTCATAAAACAAAAAGACAACAAAAACACGATTTATATTATGGACTATTACTATTGCTATGTTCGAAGGGGGCGCAGAACTTCAGATTTCATATGTATATTATTCTTCTTATTATTTTCTTTTTTTGCCTCATCTATATTTGTACAATGAAGTTAGCATGCTACTGCTGTTGCATGAGTTTGACGAATCACAAATGTCATGTGTTGAAGAGGGCGCCAGGCATTAAAACAACATTTCTGTCTGGCTGATATTTGTCGTTGCGCATGAAGTTGGCTCCAATATTCCGGGTCTCTCTCTCTCTCTATTTTTTTCTCTCATTCTCCAAGAGATTGATTGAGTTTTTATATTTAAAAGATACGCACCGGTTGCATTCACTCTCTTTTTTATCTTTGTCATCGACTGTGAATTTGATACCTCATTTGAGTGAAAATACGAACAACTTTATTGATTTATTAAGATATATACAACGGAAATGAAGAATTTTGCTTCAAGAAATAAAAAACAATTTGTTGAAACAGAGAAAAATAATAACATTTAATAATTATCGCGATTTTCAATTTCAAATATATCATCGTTGACCAAACAAAGTGTAACAGTCATGCGAAATTTAAGATCCTCCATACGTGCCTTTGTCACTATTCGATACTGTCGAATCATATAAACGATGATTAGCTTCAACGCAATATTGCCGTACTTTATGCCTAAAATAAAATTGATTACGAAATACAATTTGTTGATGTCTCAAGACACATGTGAACAGACATACCGATACAATTCCGTGGTCCGGCACTAAATGGAATATAGCTGTATGGGTGTCGTGGTAAAGCATTTTGTGGGAAAAAATTTTCCGGATTGAATTTAGTTGCATCGAATTTCCAATTGCTGCGAGTGCGATGCATATTCCAAATGTCCATAATATATTCCGTACCTTTGGGTATAGTAACTTCGCCCAAGCACATGTCTTCCTTAAGGCTTCGCGTTAAAACCGGAACAACGGGAAAAAATCGGAACGCTTCCTTTATAAATGCATCCAAATATGGCATATTTTTTATATCCTCTTGAGTTACATCCATTTTTTGGTCGGGCAATACACTTCGAATCTCTTCAAATAGTTTCTCTTGTGCATCCGGATAAATGGCAAGCAATGCACAAATATTTGTGGCTGCTGTGGCCGTTGTTTCATATCCCTATCATAACAAAAGTACCAAACAATAAATAATGATGAAGATTGGTTAGTGCTGCCATAAAATGTGCATGCATTAAATATGATTTGCATCGAAACTCAACTGCAAGTAGAACGGTTTTTAGTTCGTCCAATACATTTTGTTCGGTGAATACTTTATCTTCAAGTGCCAGTTTTATGATTCGATCAATAAATACGTTCTTTTCCACTGGTTTCTCATCGCTTTCATTGTTATTCGCGATATCATCTGCCATCAATTTTGTTTTCGCCATATATTCAGTATGCTCAACTTTTTTCGATGCATACAGCTAGTACAACGATATAACGAGAAATTCAAAGGAGACATTTTACAGAAAAAAAATCAACAATTTCGTGTGTAACACGTACCTTTTCAAGTAGTTTATTCAAAATATCGACGCTATGATAAAATGGTTTGGAATATTTTGATAGACGGAACAACATGGCTGGCTGGATCCATGGCTGAAAAAATCGCTGAGCAGTTATACCTAAAATTGTATGGGCATTATGCAAAAATGCTGGATTTTCCTCCGATTGTGTTTTGATCTCTAATCCCAATGTTGTTTCTGAAAAAAAAAAACAGCAGCAGCAGATGAGAATGAGTTTTAAAAAGTATCAACATCATTTGGTTTTACTCTCTTACCACATATCATATCCATGGCACATGCTTGTATTATCGGTGGCAATTTAAATTTACCCCTTCCAGTCTGACATTGTAATTTGTTAATGAAAATTTTGAGATTTCTATTAAATGTCGGATAAAATGATTTAACAACGTTATAATGAAATGAAGGATTCAAATTTTTTCGATGGAAACGCCATTCGTCAGCTAAAAGATAACATTTATTTTATCAATTTAAAATCGAAAAATCATTCAAATTTAAATTACATTTCAACGTGATCAGTCCGTGTCCAATGCTCTCAACAATAAAATCGTAAGAGTCACCCTTATTCAAACTATCTGGTGCATTCAGAATAATTTCAAAATGTTTTGGATCATCGATATAAACAAATAACCGATTTCCAAGCCAAAATTTTCCAGGTCCACCATGATTGCGGTGAAAATCATTTATTACATCCAAGATTTCTGTGATATTGATTAAAAAACGTGAATATACTTCAATGTTTTAAAGACGAAAAAGAAACTGCAAAAAAAACCTACTGTCTGCACTTAGAAACAAATAAGCACTTCCAATGATTGGATATCCTGTGTAGCCCTTCAATTTGTGGGCAAGCCATAGCAAGTGGCGTCGTTGCCACAAATAATACAGTGAAAATGAAAATAATACAAATATTAGCAGTATCATTGTACTATTTTCGTGGTGACAAAGTACGTAGAAATGCAGTCAAAGGAACTTCAACTATTTGCACTACAAAATCTAATGTATAACTGACCAGCCGAAACTATTGCTATGTGATATTATTTGCTGATTTGCAACGACGTTATCATGAATTTCTAGAGAGTCATTCGGTTCAAGGTCAACTTTGATCTCTCTTTTTTTCTTGTTACTGCAATTTTATGCAAGAAAAGAAAAAAACATCGCCATCAAAATGTACTATTTCGATTAAATAGTCGATGTTTTTTTTTTTCATGAATATATGTTAAAATTCTAACGTCTCGCCACCTAATTTATTGATTGGCCATGGTCTACTGAGCCCAGGTTACATTTATCTCATTAAAAAAAACGAGCATATCATTATTATTTCAATAAAAATTGTAAACAAAATTCCAAACCGAATGACTTGAATTTTACTGAATCATCGAAACAAGTTGCAAAGTTCAGTAATAAATCCGTTCAACGAAAATGGTAAAAAGAACAAATATAAATTTGAAGAAAATCCGTCTAGAATGTGACTGTTGAAATAAAAATGTAAAAATTATATTTCATCAGACGAACAACGTTCATACAATGTTCTTTTTTTTTGGTGATAAGATCGATTAGAAATGTCAGGAAAAACAAAGTGTAAGACAATATACGTGCGACTTTTTGTATGCCCGTACAAACAATTCCTTCGTTTTGCATTTTGCACAGAAACTTGACCTATATCGATATCAATTACGTTTCTTCTATATTCAAATTAATGTGCAACGCGCGCTCACACGGAATATGAGATTGCATTTGGGATGCACGATATTTGACAATAACCGTAATAAATGAGTTGTTTGATAAGACTAAACTTAATCTATTCAGTAGTTTGAAAAAATGTGGAACACACGAGAATGATTATTGTTAATGGAAAAATCGAATCATTTATTAAATCAAACAGATTAAATCACAATGAAATTGAACTCTCGACGAAGCTGGCATTTGTGAGGCTCGCGTGTAACAAGTGAGCAAAAAGAGAGAATTATAAATTTAAATAGAACGTTTGAACAGAGCGCGTTTTCTGAGTCACGACAGATGTTAAAGCGAACCAACTTCACGATTGTTTGTTCGACATTTCTCATTTGGTTAAAGACTCGGCAAAACTATGAGCTATGTGAGAGAGATGTCTTAAACTGTTTTGATATTGTGACATTTTGTTAGGGAAATTATATTCCGCCGATGACAAATGTGCGTGTTTATTTACTGAAAATTCCAAATTTACATAAATTTCAGTGAATTTTATTTGAAAAAATCGAAAAAGCGGTGTTTCGATTGCGAATAAAAAGAGGCGGCTAAAAATTTAGCAGCCATGGGCTCAATCATGGAATCAGCTCCCAATGAATTAATGAGGCCATTCAAATTATAAGTATCATACCCGATTAACTGCCAATTCAATCGAATTTAATGCGTGAATTAACCATTTTTTTTAATTAAATTCCATTACAGTTCACCAAGTTGTTAGTCTGACTGGCATCAGTTTCGAACAAAAAAGTATCATTGTAAGTTATGCGAGAGATATGACAGATTATTTGAAAATTGGTATTCAATGTTCGATTGTACGGGTTTATTTTCAGGGTTTTGTTGAGCTAACCATCATTCCAACCAAAAATAAATTGAAAGCCATTCATTTGAATGCAAAACAATGTCGCATCTATCGTGTTGTTTTCAACGATGATATCGAAGTTCCGTACGAATATTTTGATCCATTTTTGGACATTTGTCAAGATGCTACTGAAACGTAAGTCGTAAACCACAACTATTATTCGTATAAATAAAAATGCATAAATTAAATCATAAATTCCATTTGTCACAATAGTCGTTCGCTGGAAGATTTTTCAAAATATCATTTGGAAGCTGCTGAAAGTGTGGATCCTGATCATTGTGCCGGTGAATTAGTATTGTTGATACCACCCGAAGCCAATGATATTGTGGTTGAAGGCAAAGAGTTACGCATTGGAATCGAATTTTCACTTGAAAATCCAGACGGTGGCATACATTTTGTAACCGTTGAAAATGATGATTCAACGGCAGTCAATTCATCACATTTGTATACATATGCGCCAGAAAATTCGAGTCGATTATGGTTTCCATGCATAGACAGTTATGCCGAACCGTGTACGTGGAAGCTTGAGTTTACGGTCGATGAAAATTTTACAGCCGTTTCATGTGGTGAACTAACCGAAGTAATTATGACACCGGATATGCGCCGCAAAACCTATCACTATACCATCAGTGTGCCAGTTTGTGCACCGAATATTGCACTGGCCGTTGGACCATTTGAAATTTATGTCGATCCGCATATGCATGAAGTAACACATTTTTGTCTACCGCAGCTAATGCCGTTGCTTAAGAATACCGTTCGTTATATGCACGAAGCATTCGAATTCTATGAAGAAATCTTATCGACACGTTACCCATTTACATGTTACAAACAGGTATTTGTCGATGAACTCGGCTCAAATGCCCGAGCCTATTCAACGATGAGCATTTTATCAACACATTTATTACATTCAATTGCGATTATTGATCAAACATATGAAACGAGAAAGGTTCTATCGATTGCAATTGCTGAACAATTTTTCGGTTGTTTTATAACGATGCAACATTGGTCAGATACATGGTTGGCCAAAGGTATTGCCGAATATATGTGCGGTTTGTATTCGAAAAAATGCTTTGGTAATAATGAATATCGCGAATGGATACAACATGAATTGTCCGAAGTGGTAAAATATGAAGAGCAATATGGTGGAATCATTTTAGATCCATCAGTTCCGCCAGCACCGTTGCCCGTATCGACAAATGCACCAACGAATATCACAAAACAACCCGACGAACATTATTTTCCGATCAAAAATATGCACACTATGTCACCGAAATATATAGAAGCAATGCGAAAAAAAGCACACATTGTCATTCGTATGCTGGAGCATCGAATTGGCCAACAATTACTCATTCAAGTGTTCAATAAACAATTGGCACTCGCAACAAATGCAGCGGGTCAACCAATTGCCAGTGGACTTTGGCATCATTTACTTATCTCAACAAATATTTTTATCAAAGCCATTTTCACTGTCACGGGCAAAGATATGTCAGTGTTCATGGATCAATGGGTGCGCACCGGTGGACATGCCAAATTTCTTTTGACATCGGTATTCAATGCAAAGCGAAATACAATCGAATTAGAAATTCGACAAGATTGTGTCAATCAAAAAGGTGTTCGAAAATATGTTGGACCACTGTTGATTCAGCTACAAGAATTGGATGGTACGTTCAAGCATACATTACAAATTGAAAATACGGTTGTAAAAGCAGATATAACATGCCATTCGAAAAGCAGACGAAATAAAAAGAAGAAAATTCCACTTTGTACGGGAGAAGAGGTCGACATGGATTTATCACCAATGGGGTTAGTTTTAAATTCGCGAAGAAAACAAGTGACCCGATTTAATATATCACTTTCTTTTGTCGTTTTATTTTGTCAGTGACTCGCCGGTGCTTTGGATTCGACTTGATCCGGAAATGATAATATTGCGTTCAGTTATTATTGAACAACCGGATTTTCAATGGCAATTTCAATTGCGCCATGAACGTGATGTAACCGCACAGTTTGAAGCTATTGGTGCATTACGTAAATATCCAACAGCCACCACACGGATGGCACTCACTGATACGATCGAGAACAACAATTGTTTCTACAAAGTTAGATGCAAAGCCGCGCACTGCCTGAAAGATGTACGATTTAATTTACTTGATTTTTTTTTCCATAAGCCACAACTGTATGTATATTGAATATGATATTTTAGGTAGCAAATGCAATGGTAACAAGTTGGACGGGTCCCCCAGCAATGCAACAAATATTTCGCAAATTTTTCGGCTCATTCAGCGCTCAACATATCATTAAACAGAACAATTTCGCAAATTTCCAATTGTATTTCCTGCAAAAAACGATTCCAGTAGCAATGGCTGGACTTCGAACCGCTCATGGTATTTGTCCACCAGATGTGATGCGTTTCCTCTTAGATCTCTTCAAGTACAACGATAACACACGAAATCACTACTCCGATAATTACTATCGAGCTGCATTGATTGATGCACTCGGTGAATCAATAACACCCGTTGTATCGGTCATCGAACAGGGTTCAACAATTACAGCTGAAAGCTTATCGACTGACGCAAAGTATGTTAAAAACAATTGTTGATTATTACGATAAGGTTGATAAAAAATGTTTTTCATTTTTGTGTTTTCAGACTCGTTCTTGAAGAAGTGACACGCCTCTTGAATTTGGAAAAACATTTACCATCGTATAAATACTGTGTTACGGTTTCTTGTTTGAAAGTAATACGAAAATTGCAGAAATGCGGTCATTTACCATCGACACCAAAGTTGTATCGTTCATATGCTGCTTATGGTCAATATATTGATGTTCGTGTTGCGGCCATGGAGTGTTTGGTGGATTTTGTTAAAGTTGATGGTGAATACGATGATTTAAAGCATTTACTGGATCTACTTAGCAACGATCCAGATGCGATGGCACGACACAAATTGGCACGATTATTTATCGATTTTCCACCATTTTCGAAAACTCATCGGAATCGAAAGCTAGAGCGACCAGAGCTCGTCGAACAAATTTGGCAGAATATGAAGTAAGTGTTTAATTTTTTCTGATGTTTCTTTTATTTAATACAATTCTAAATTCTCTTTGAAACAACAGCAATAACTTTTCAAATAATGCTCAAGTGCGGTGCAATTTTGTGGATTTATACTATTCGCTGTTTGGATCGAAAGTTCCAAATTGTTTGGCTAAAAATGAAATGCCACTGTCAATGGGATTGCCGAAAATTCCAAAAATACCGAAACTGAGCGATACAAAACAACGGTCGGCCAGTCCATTTGAAAGCAATACAACTAAACTTCCAGTGGTTGATGAACCTATCAAAATTGAGAACAGAGAATCCGAAACAGTTAATCGGCCAGTTGAAGAAAAACAAGAACCATCAGAGACGGTGAAGGTAAACATATCAATAATACAAAAATATATATCAAAAATACATATATATTAAACTTGAAATATCTTCCTTTACAGGTTGAGAAAAGAGATGCATCCGAAATGGATTCGGATAATCGTCAACCAGAGCCAAAAAGAGTTAAAACTGAGTTTTGTTCCGATAATTCAGTATCACTTCCCGGAATATTGCCAGGTAGTACGGGACCCGTTGGATTTGAGCCGGGCATGTTCAAAAACGATGATGAAAGCAGCAGACACAGCAGAAGCAAATCGAAAGACAAAGAGAAATCAAGCGATGGAACATCAAAGGTAATTTATATTTATTTTTCTCATAAGAAAAACATTTTTGAAAACAATTTTTTTCCTTTGTTCGCATTTATAGAAGAAAAAGAAGAAAGAGAAAAAGAAGCACAAGCATAAGCACAAACATAAGCACAAGACAGAAAGTAAAGATAAAGAAAAGAAAGAGAAGAAAGATCCAAATATATCACGACTTTTAGTGAAAGATGAAACACCAGAGACGCTTAGTTCAGCCGAAACGTCCAGTAATAGCAATCAAACATTTCAAGATTTGACTTCGACAATGTAGATGGAATGTGTTTATGTTGTAATGTGACATTTTTAAATAAATTATATTTCAATTTGAATTTTGCTTTTCGGCAGGAATGATATTCAATAAAAATCAAACTCAAAATATAAATATTCTGATAACTTCTTAATTCTTTTGCTGCAAGACGATCTATTAAAAACAAGCGCTAGCATTGTCACTGTTTTATTTGTCTGTGCTATAAGATAAGCTTCAAGTTCCTTTTTCGCTCACCACATCTTTCATTTTTTCATTATGTTTTACCTCTGTGATTGTCGTTGCCAGTGAACAGTGTTCAATGAACGACACCCTTTGGTGGATCCATTGAAACTTTGCTGGAACTCTCCGACAGTGTTGGCGTCCTAAAATAATACACTCATCAACCACATTGTAAAACGATGAAATGAAATTGATTTAAATGAAAATTTAAAATAAATAATCAAATTGAAAGAATAGCCTGAAGTTAGTTAGTTCGATACAAGCGGCAAAGCAAAACATTAAAGCACTGTCAACCAATAAGCGAAAAGTGACGACATCAATTATTATATGAAATTAATAGAAAAGAAACGTTTTTCATTTCATGCCGTGCTAAAAAGAAACGTTTTTATATTGCTTAGTAATGATTTAGCTGATGTGAAACTGACCGGATCGATGCAAATGTTATTCTCAAAAGAATTGACAAATGTTGACACGCTTCTTTAATGTTGAAATTTACGATGAATTCACGTACGAGAAATACCTATACAAAAATACAAATTTATTTTTGACATCATAATTCTAGCCCATTTTTCAATTTGTGCCACCGAAACTTTGATAAGAATTTGGATCACCATCCAGCAAATGTTAACAGCTATGAACTTGTGCTATGATTTGTCTGAGACGTGTTTGAGAATTCGTCGCTTCAAGCAATACATAACGGTCAGCAAGAGTTCGTTTCTTTGACGCACGTATTTTTGTTGATGTGGAACCTCTTGCAACAGTTGATACAGTGAATGCTTCATGATCAGTAATGGTTCCTGAGTTCGCGGAATCAAATCTCTCTGACTAACAGATGTACACAAATCCTCTTGATCTGTTGGTGTAATGACTTTAATATTTGTTCCAAAGTGCTAAATTTGAAGGCTTTAAAAGTGTTGATGTTGGTGTCGATGGTGGTTGTTTATCTGTATCTGATTAGTAGAACAATCTCAATTTAAAATTGAAATATTTAGAAATAAAAATGAAGTTATAAATCAGGAAATGAATTTAGAATAAAAATCTATCAATGGTATTCAATTAATTTGAAATTTAGTTTATTCGGAACCGATCACAAAAAAGAAATGAAATCAAAGAAAGTTACATTTTAAAATATGCACTGCTCAAGGAGAGCCAAATTGAAAAACTCACACCGAATTTATGAAATTATGAAAAAAAAAAAACTGAATTTAAGAAAGATTTTTTATTTTCCATTCTATTTTTATTGTGTGTTGAAAATTAAATAACAATTACGTAAATTATGTCAAAGTAAAACACACTTATGATGCACATGCACACACTCAAAACAACGGTGAACCAGCCGTCCTCAACGCCAGCAATTGACCATCGATTTACATGTTAAAAATATTTTGTTTGCATTTTATCTAATTTTTTGTTATTAAATTTTGTTTGGTGTCTTTCACTCTCACTTTTTACTTTGTCCGTATTTCATACTTTCTTTTTATCAAATCATAGAAACTACAGCAAAATATATTTTTTTGCTACAAATTGTTTTTAATCAATTGATTTCTAGGTGAACCCGTTTATTTGAATAAGAAACTGAAATCGAAATAAAAATAATCATAAGTTTTTTTTTTTGAAATTATTCAAATGTTAACAATGTTACCTGTATGGATAGCCTTGGGCTTTGGAACGGAACACAGAAAGAATTACTGAGAAGAATATTGCAACTAAAATCAATCCAATAATCGCCATAAAACGACCTTTTCGTTGATCGGTCTGTTGACCAGCTTCAGTGAGTAGAATCATTCCAAGAACAATCATGGCATCTATATTTGTTTGGGTTGAATGAGAATGTTGAAAATTTTGATTATTTCAAATGCATTTGATTATTCAGTAAAAATAAATCAATTTTTCATAAGATACTTACTTAAGAACATAATGATGTATGTTTCGATGACCAATTGTGCTTGTGATGATCCATGAATGTATGCAATGCCACCATTGGCACCTCTATGCATAAGTGGTGGACCACGAATATGATTCCACATTTGTCCTGAGATCATAGCAAAGCAAAATGTTAGAGCTAAAACGCCCCACATTCGTTTGTTGAACAAAAATTCCAAGTTATTGCGTCGCATATACAAGAAACCGCCAACCAATGAGGCAAGCATGAGAATGGCAATCGTTCCGGAGTAATTTGGTGGTCGGAAAATGCGAATTTGAATATCGGTACGCTCTTGAATCCATTTGGCAAGTGATTCAGCCATATAACCAGCTCGTTGAATGTCCATTGTATCAGCAGCTATATCAAAATGGAATGAATAAAGGCATTTTTTTCTTGTTAGGCACACATTTAAAATAACAAAAACAACGAAATACGTTGCTGAACTTGGAAATTTAACAACCAATATATCAATTTTCGACGAAAAATTGTCTTTCGATACGAAAGATGTGACATCATTATCGACTGTGTTGTCATTTATTCGAAAGCATTATCGATGTGAATTACCTTTAGGTTTGCCTTTAGCTGGGAAATGCATGAAAACTGGTGCCGTATTCAAACGAAGCATTTGAAAAACATCGGAACCTTCATCGAAGTCGACCATGGCAAAGAATAAATTATTTGAATATGCCTGTGAATATCGGAATGAATTGGCTAAAATTGTGTATTCATCGTGAGCATGTCGGCAAATGGCGCACTGTCGGGCCGGTGCTAAAGCTGTAAACATTATAACAACAGAGTAATTTCTTGGTGTGGTCTTCACAAAATCGCGGAATTTTTGCAAATTAAATTTCTGCACCGGTCGTTTAGTACTCATATCCGTTAGCAATTGTACTCGTTCGCCAAGTGTTTGTGGCTAAAAAGAATCCAAAAACATAATCATTTTAGACAAATTCGAAATTATCTAAACAAACATGACGTGTCAATTGAACACTTGTCATTTTAACCACCACATCACATCGGTAAATAAAAGCGGCTTTTCACAAACGAGTTTTTTTTTATTTGCGTTTGCGATAATTCTTCGCATCGTGAATAAAAACTTACCGAGCCGGTTTTCCTTTGCCCATCCGCTGGTAACCATTGTATACAACTCAAAACTATAAACGATAAAAATATCAATTGAATTCTCATTTTGCCTATGGTATATATTTTTTTTGCTAGTTCCTCTACACAATAGTAATTCTGTGATTAGGAACTGTACTGAATGGTGGTATCGAGCCAATAATAACAAATGTGTTGAAACGTCATTGGACGTTTCAGAAATACACACATCGACAAAACAGTGTTACCAGGTTAAAACATAACAACACGAAAAATGGCATTTGAGAAACATATACGAAGTCATTTCATTTGATTTTGATGCAATATAAATGGAAAAACAAACAAAAAATGTTCATAATATTTAATGAATAAAATGGAGAAATATTTTCATTTGAAAATTAATGTGATTTGAAGAGTTATCTTTTAACCGAATCTCGCATACATTTTGTTTCCGTTGAAGTAGTACATTGAAAACGAACAACAGTTGATCTAGTACAAAAATGGCGTGATTTGTGTTTAGCATGTTGTCAGCCGTGTGAACGATGACTAGCGTTTCGCACTGTCATGACAGTTTAATGGAATCCCATTGAACGATTTAAAGTTGAAATCATTTGTGTGTGAACGAGATCTAGATCACAAGTTTATTTCTTTTTATACTTCATACTTTTTTCGATATCCGAACCAAAATAAAATCAAATAATTCATAAAGAGTCTAATAAATTTTCGAAAAAGTCAAACAAATCGATACGTACGACAAATAAAACGAAATTAATTTAACAAAGAAAAAAATGGCTGGTGCGATTTTATTTGAACGGGCGCAGGCATTGACGTCGGTGAATCGTGAAGAGGGCATTTCACTGTTGAATAAAATTGTACGCGAACAAGAAGTTGCCGAAAATGATGAGGAGCTCATTCGGATCAAAGAGCAAGGGATTTTGCAATTGGGCGAACTCTACAAACAAGAGGGCAAAGCAAAAGAATTAGCCGATTTAATCAAAGTAACACGTCCATTTTTGTCGTTAATTAGCAAGGCGAAAGCAGCAAAATTGGTTCGTTCATTGGTTGATTTCTTCCTTGACTTGGAAGCCAGCACTGGCATCGAAGTGCAATTGTGTAAAGAATGTATCGAATGGGCAAAACAAGAGAAGCGTACATTTTTACGTCAATCGCTCGAAGCACGTTTGATTGCATTATATTTTGATACTGGTTTATACACAGAAGCACTGCAACTCGGTTCGGCCTTGTTGAAAGAGCTCAAAAAATTGGACGACAAAATGCTGCTGGTGGAGGTTCAACTGTTAGAAAGCAAAACATATCATGCATTGAGCAATTTGCCAAAGGTATGTCTTTATTTCTGCACACTTCGTTTGAGACACTTTTAGATCAACATTTTGATTGCCATTCATTATGAAAAACAGTGTAACCAGTTTTTTTTTTGTGCATTTAAACGATCCAAAAAAGTAAATATGGCTTCAGGCTTTGTGAGGTTAGAAACAAAGGCTGTACGATATTATTGTGCGTGTGACGTCAACATCAACACAAACTTTTCTAGAGCAATGACGCATCGTCTTTGTTATTCTCCTTATATGCGGATACATAAAAAAACTGGTTGCTCGTTGTTTATTTGTTGGTTGTTCTCAATCTTTTTTATTGAATGAAAATGCAATGGATTTATATGGACATTGTGCGCTTCCTTTGTTGCAATGAATTGAATTTGTTGTCACGAATTTGCAAAATGCACGTGATTCAAAATGAAAAACCAAATGCGTAGGCAAAATGCTTTCATTATTTTTCCTTTTAAATGAATGGAATTTAATTAAATGCACCTGAATTAATGTTTCTCTTTTCTACAATTGAATCAATGTATAGGCTCGCGCTGCATTGACCTCGGCTCGTACAACAGCTAATGGTATTTATTGCGCTCCAAAAATGCAAGCATCTCTTGATTTGCAATCGGGTATTTTGCATGCAGCTGATGAGCGTGATTTTAAAACAGCTTACTCATACTTTTATGAAGCGTTTGAAGGATATGATAGCATTGAAGCGGCCCGTGCATTGACCGCATTGAAATATATGTTGCTGTGCAAAATAATGCTTGGCTTGGCCGATGATGTCAATCAAATTGTTAGCGGTAAATTGGCAATCACATACTCTGGACGAGATATTGATGCAATGAAAGCCGTTGCACAAGCATCACACAAACGTTCGTTGGCCGATTTTCAAGTAGCACTCAAAGAATATGCAAAAGAATTGGAAGAAGATGTTATCGTAAAGGCTCACTTGGGCACACTATACGACACAATGTTGGAACAAAATTTATGCCGGATTATCGAACCTTTCTCACGTGTGCAAGTAAGTTGATCGAGCATTGGTTTTCTTTTTCCGCCTCCATTCAAATATACCCATATAAAATCTATCAAACAAAATGCACTAATCACGATTTTTTTTGGTCGTTTCCACAGGTGTCACATATTGCCAACTCAATTAAACTGCCCGTATTGCAAGTGGAAAAGAAATTGTCACAGATGATTTTGGATAAAAAGTTTAGCGGCATTTTAGATCAAGGCGAAGGTGTTCTTATTGTATTCGAGGAGACTGCCGTTGATAAAACATACGAACGTGCATTGGAAACGATAACAAATATGGGCAAAGTGGTAGATACGCTTGAATTTTATTATTTTTCGATTATTTTCCGATTACTTATCGATTATTTTAAATTTTATTCTTTTCTTTTGTGATTCTCCCCTTAGGTAGATACGCTCTATCAAAAGGCTAAGAAACTCTCATAAAATAAACACTGAGCAGCAGCATTCGCAAAACCAAAATTATTATCGAATTTTTGCTGTTCCTACTTTATTAATGTGTACTGATGATAATAACAAAAAAAAAATAAAACCGAATGAGCTAAAATCTCTAGATTTTTTTTTGAAAATGAGCGTTTTTTATTCGAGATACTGTAAAATCGCTGGAAGAACATTTGGAAAAAATATATATATTCAAATAAAACTCGATTTATAAAGAATTTTTTTTACATCAATTTAGTCCGGGTTTTGCTCAATATGATTGTACTTAACCGGTATGTCATTTCAAGTATATGAGTGGACAACATATCCATATGTCCGGCAACATATATATTGAAGATACATAGGTATGTATGTGCTTTGTGCATATTTTCATTGAGACTGCGCAATTGTTTGCGCCATAGGAATGAATATAAAATAGGTAATATTTATGTAACAGAACATTTTAAATAACAAATAAATTATTATTATTTTTTTTTTAATAATATTTGAAAAGCTTCTCATATGTAAGTTATAGCAGTGAAAGCTTCCGACATATGTCTATGTTCAATTCGATATATGGAAAATAACAAATAAAGAAACATTTATTATTTTAATTTTTGTTACATTTTTATTTCAATATATTTTTACGAGTAAAAAAATCAAATTTGGCATTCATGAAATTCAAATATCAAAAAATATAACAAAACTTACTTTGGAAATTCAATAGAAATTAAACGGCTATAATTTTGCGAAACAAATTTAATTATATTCTTCAATTTTTTACATAAATTCACGTCAGTTTGAATGTTTCTTTAAAATACGGTATGTTAAAAATATGAAGAAAAAAAAAACATGGTATGTGAAGCGAAATTTGAATTTTATATGTGAAAAATTGAATTCTTGAATTTTCTTATTATACAATTTTTATCTCAAGCGAAACTATATTCAGTTAGATTTTTCGTGTATTTTTATATATATATTTTTTTAATTAAAAATAGAGCTTAAATCCTATTTTAAAATCAAGCTAAGAAAAACTTATTCATAAGCTTTAATCAATTACCTCGTTAAACCGAAAACTTACCTCCAAAATTAATCGATTCAATACGATTTTCCTACAAATCAATAGCAATATTAAATGACAATAAAAATGATCTAGCAATTTGGATAATTTGAAGTGAACCGTTTTTCTGTGGTATTTTTTTGACCAATACCATAATTTGAAATGTTTGCTTCCATAATTTGAGTTCTTAAAGTGAAAATCCACAAAAATTATGGCATTCGGTAAAAAAAAATACCAGAGAGAAAAGAAATCCAACAAGGCTTATTGGTCTTAGCAAAAACAGCTGACAAAATCAAAAGTAATCAGAATTTCGCTCGAACTGTGTCTCTTACTTCTTCTGACTTCAACGAAAAAAGAAGGCAACTTGTTTAGTTTGTTGTTTTAAATAAAAAAATATCCGATCAATATACAGGATTGAGAAATTTTCACTTTATTCATTTCGAACAAATACAATAGGAGACAAAGAATTACAAACACTTTAAACTAAATAATGTTACGTTACATTGGGTAAATGCATTACACGTTTATGAATGAGAGTTAAACATTACGAATTTGTATGTTTCGTATGTTAAATTGATTTTTGTTGATGTAAAAAGAAATTTTTTTAGCTTTAAACTCTGTGTTCCATCAAAAAAAATCCTCCAATTTAAACATTGCATCAAAAATGTGGCTGTTTTGTATTGTATGTTTTGTGAGTGTGCTCTAATTCCAAGTCTGAGATCAGAAGCAATAGAAATGATCGAAAGAGTTGTGAAAAATCTCTTTGAAATAGAACTACATGAATCGATGTTCTTGCACGTTGTCGTCAATATAGTGGGCTTGATGGACTATTTCACATTTGACTCTTTTCAACTCTTTTCCTTTTAAATTTTCTTTTGTCTTAGTTTTGTTCTGCTTGTTTAAATTGTTTCTTTACATGGAATTCACATCATCTACGTAAGACATCAATTTATGGCTAAGTTTTTTTTTTCAGAAGTTTTCGGCTTGTGGGGCCTCACACTTCCTTCCACAGTTGCGTGTGTATATTATTAATCTTATTTATTGTTTTTTTTGTGAATTTTCTCTTTATTTAATGTGTGTGTCATTTAAATCTTAATTCATTAAAACTGATCAGAGTTGTTTCGTTGAAAGCAAATCCCTACAAGTAATATTCAAACATCTAATTAATTTGTTTTGTTTTTAAATGTTGTTTTTTTTCTCTTCTTCTTTCCTTTTTTAAATTTCCCTTCTCTCATTTGTCTAGAGTATTTTCTTTTTTTTCTTCCCTTGAAATGCGGTGTTGTTATTGTTGTTGTTTTTTCGAGTGAAAGTTTTTATTTTTCAGATAAGGAAAAAAAGAAACAAATACAATACATTTTGTTTACGATTTCAAAACAACTTAATTTTATTTCATTAAAAAATGAGAGTGTGTGTATGTGAAAGAAAATTAAAAATCTACTGAAAAGAAAAGACAAAAAAAAATAGTTTTGTATATTTCCTGAAAATGAATGATTCCCCTCTTAATTTGAACTTTTTACGAAAGAAAAATGAAAGAAAAAAGGACATTTTTTTTAAATTAAAAATTGATTTGCAAATTAAGAAAAATCGAGAATTATTCAAACATGTGGTTGACACGAAATCAGCTACGTTCACACAATTTTAGAACAGAATGAAACCATATTGAATAGTTCTTGCGATGATTTTTCTTAAGTTGCTTCATTTTTTCTTTTCATTTAATTTCATTTTTTTTTCATCTTGTATTGTTTGTTTTGTTCATTGTTTTGTTAATGTTTTTTTTTGTGTGATTTTTCTTTCATTTTTTATATTTTATTTTACTCAAAACACAATTCAAGTCAATTATTTTTTTTTATGTTGTTTTTGTTTTGTTATCGCTTCGAATGATGGATGTTTTGCTGATCTGAAGTCTTTTTCAAGTAATTAATCTAATCACTTTCTTCTTCTTCGTCATCATCCTCTGAGTCAGCTTGTTTCTTGCTCTTCTTGGTTGGGGCTTTTCGTGTTTGTTTGGAGCCGCGCTTCTTGCCAGAGTCTTTGCCACCTCCGTTTGCTTCGTACTCTTTGACTAATTTGGTGTATTTGTCTTTGGCTTCAACGGCTTTGGCCTCCCATTTCTATAAATGATGGAATAACGATAAAAAAATAATTCAGTTAAATTGCCCCGGTTAAACAATGCAATTGCTTCAAAAATATGATTGGTTTTGAATTATTTTTTTTTTCACTTCTTTACAGAATATTCAATTCAAACATTTTTTTTTTGGTATTTAAAGTTAGCCAAAATGGCGCATTTTTTGGCTGCCATTTTAAAAAACAGTTTATACTCCAGTGCATTGAAGAAGAAAAAAAACTTATGCAATTGAGTACTTACGCTCTTGTCCTTTAGTGCGCGCCACAATTCACCACCTCGCTTGGCAACCTCTGTGACTTTGATACCTGGATTGTCACGTTTGATTTGTTCACGGTTGTCGTTCAACCACAACATGTATGCGGAAAGAGGACGCTTTGGTTTTTCTGCCATCTTTACTTTTTAGTTGATTTCACGTTAAGAATCTATAAACGAAACGAAAAACAAAACAAAGAAATCCATTAATATTTTATATTTCAGTTTCAACAAACAATTCACTTCAATTGAAACGTTTTATGTATTTTTATGAATTCAAACATTTAAAGAAAAATTCAAATTTTTTGCTCTGCATATAAAAATCAAACGATTGTTTTTTTACTGTGTTTGCTTAAAAATATCATGATTAACAAAAGCCTACTCTAACCGCCCTATTTATTGATCTGTTTCAATTTGAAAAAAAAATGAGACTTATAACGGCTTTGACGATTTGAAAATTTTCAGGAGACAGAATGTATTTAATATCCTCTCTCACGCATTCTCGAAAAAATCGACCCACAAAATAACATATATATTATTATGCATATATATATAGAAAATATCGGAATTACATTTAATGCAAATCAAATGGTAACTGAAAAAAAAACACAGCAACACCGAATTATTTTGCACGCATCAACGCTAACCGTTTTCTCTCAGTCTCTCATGCTCATTATCAAAGCGTCGCTGTACGTTACAAAGTTCGTTAAAATGCGCTCTATGTGTATGCTGGCTGTTGGTGAATACACAACACAGCAATGGAGTGTATTATATGAAAATGGCTGTATACTGGATTTTAACATTTGGAGAGAAGCCGAAATGAGTATATGTTACCGGAGTTGAGAAAAATGAACCAAAATTATCGATTAAAGTCGAAAATTTAAAATTTTAATTCTCAAAAATGAAGAAAAAACTAAAAAAAATGCAAGACCAACAACAACTTTACGCATCATCGTATATATTTTTTAATTCTCGCTTTTTCTTTCTTTCGATTTCGTTTTTTAACGAACACAAACAACATTCGCATCACAATCAAATTTAAACTGTAATCTTTTCGCATTTCATATTCGTATAAATTCAAAAGACGAATGAAAAAAATTCAAACGACAAAATTGTAATGTGAAACATCGTTACAAATAAGATATGGCGAGAAAAATACAAATTGTATTTATATACGAAAAAGGATCAGAAGACAAGAATTGAAAAGCAAACGCGAGCACAGAAGATGAAAAAACAAAAGTGGAATAAAGAAAAACCGAAATAATTTAAATGTATTGAGATATGGTGGAAAAGAGCGAAAGAAATGAGCGCGCGATGGATAAAAATCGAACCAAAGCGAAGCGGAGCAGAGAAAATAGCGCCGATTTACCGATGAAAAGACGGAATTCACACGAACAAGCTGCAAATGTTCGGTAAAAATTCTAAATATTCACTTACTTAGTCACGAAGAGTAGAGCGTCGGTTATATTTTATTTTGCACGGAAAGAGCACACACAGCAAAACAATCACTTTCAATGTACGTCGAGAAAATGACTTGGAAAGTAAACGAACTGGCTTTGGTTTGGTAGTTGATATAGAACACACGTACACTATATGTATTTGCTGTTGCTGCAAAATTGTATATATGACGCCTTTTGGAAATGCAAGAACACAAGAACACCGAACTGAAGTAACGAACTGATACAAATGGAATAATGCTCAGTTTGGTGTGTACACTTCACACATAAGCTATGTTTGGCCGTAATATGATGTGTGCAGAGCGTATCGCGCGTTATTCGTTATACAGTGTCGGTTATTTGGTCGCTTTGTGCCCTTTTTTCAGAACGCTCCTGCTCCTGATGCATACAATGAAAGTAAAACCGAAACGGCAAAGAGGAATCGGAACGGCAAAAGAGAGGCAACGAGACAGAGAGAACGAACGACGAACGACAAACGACAAACGGCGCAAGAGAGAGCGCACAGTGTCGGACGTTAGTACTGTATAGCAAATGAGAAGCCACGCAGCATATAACGTGGTAGTGTAATAGTACACAGCACAGCACAGCAAAGTAAAACTCTACAGAAATAATACAGCAACACACAAGCGACTCTGGTTACTATGAGTCTTTTACATTTTGCTTGTTGGGCATCAAATTTTTAGTATTGAGTGCTGAATATAGAGTACAATGTGTAGAGTGTCGCTGTGCAACGCGTACGATATTTCAATGTTCGTTGTAACAGTGTTCAGTGTGTGTGGTTTTTCTCTCTTTCTCATATACGCATCAATGGCATATATATGCGCGCGCGATAAACAACTCGCTGACTATATGAGCCGAACATACTGAACAACCGACCGAACCAACGAATAAACGAACAAGGCAAGGCAATATCGGCGAACAAACGCCAAATGATATTGTTTGCAATGATGATGAACTGAATGTGAGTATGTCTATGTCTCTCATTTTCTGAATGTGAATGTATGTTGTATTTGTGTATGCACAGTAAAAAGTGCCAAAGCCAAAGCCAGAGTCAGAGCCAGAGCCCAGTAAAACAAAATAAAAAAAGCAATGGCAAAAGAGCTTCGAATGAATTGAGTATGCCTCAAATGTAAATGGATTGAAATGAGAATATGAAAACGAAAATGAAAAGGTATCAACCATTATCTAAATACATGGGCAAACATAAAGCGACGCGCTCGTATAATATTCAAGTGGTATTGCTGAAATGTTCAGCACTGGCACAGGCACAACCAAAACCAAAGGCACTCTATGTTCTCAAAGAGCAAGCTGTACGAGACGATCCATTGAATATTATATGGTTTTCAATACCAACATACAACGTTCACTCTACTCAATACACGGCAAAACATATACTCGTGTATGCGTACACTACTTCGTTTTTATACGTTTGGTATGTGATGCGTCTCTCCTAGCAAGTCTCCATACCGAACGAACAAACCGAGTGCTTTTCTCTCTTGTATGAACTGTATTGAATGTTTGGGAAAAAATTCTATATGGCGACATGGCTCTTTGCCACTTCGTTCAAATGAAATTTGTTTGAAGAATTTTTTGGCGCGAAAATGTATAAGATTATTAAAATTATTCGACGCGTTGAAAAGTAATTATGCAGTTTTGTAGAGAAAATTATAAGAAAATTTTTGGTAAAAACGGCATCACGATACGATGACTCGTTTTCAAGATATTCAATTTTTAATTTTTTCGTCGAACATTTTGTTCAAGTGATGCTTCATACAAGCCATTTTCTTTGTCGATTTTATGACGACATCAAATGCGAAATACCCAATTTTTTTTTATAAAAATCGATAAAATCATGTAAATGATATCGAACTTTTCGTTAAATGAATTAAATGACGCGAATTTACTTAAAATCAATAGTAATTTAAAAAAATACTCGCTCTTGTCATCGAATATTTATTTTGGTTGTACAGGCAAAGTTTCATATAATGTTAATATGGCGCATACAAAATATAAGCGAACAGAACCCACGCCAATAGTGGTTTGGAAAAATCGAAATATTTTACGTAAATCCGTTCTAATTTTTTTGTTTGTTTCGGTAAAAAGGTACTACAATGATGTTTAAATAATTTGTAGAAATGGAAAAATTACTTACCAGAAGAAATACACAATGAATTTTCACAAAGAAAAAACCAATTAAATTGCTTGATTACAACAGAAAACGGTAAGCACGACTATTCGTTCAAGAACTACAAGATCGAACTGAACACGTAGAAACGTACACTGTGCTTGTAATACGAAGCAACGACGAACGAACGGAACGCATTTGCCAATAACAACGCTTAGTATTGCAGCATCAAAACAATAAAATTTTTAAAGCCGGTCTCGGTGTGCGAATGAAACGCAACAACATAACAAATGCGGACAATAGAGACAACCGCATATTTCATACACCACAGTATTGACGCTGCTGGCATACGATTGCTACAACTGTTGAGAATATTCAAAATGTACGTGCGTTGAAGGTTTTACTTGGATATTTTTTACATTTCCATTTCATTCATATTTGTTCAGAAAAAATTAATTTCGATTAAGAAAATGTTCGGCACATTTTTAGATTAATTTTTAAGCGTTAATCTCTCATCAAATATTTTTTAAAATTCGTCAAAATTCTGAAGAAAATGGTTGCAAAACCGAAGCCATGTCAAATGTACTACACTGTGGACGAAGTATTCATTCGTTTGAGAGTTTGCCGCAATGTGAACCGTCTCCACTTTTGTTCGGTGTTTTGTTGTTTGTACGCTTCGTTCTCCATACTTCGTATTATAATGTGGTATTATATGAAGCCATGAAATTTCTTTGAATTTATTCAAAGCAAAACTCATGCAACATTTTTGTTTATCGCATTTTTTTCGATAAACTATTTACATGATCAAAATGGTATCAAACATGAAATTAAAAATGATACAATTTTAAAGCAAATTCGCCCGTATTCGCTGACATTTTCGCTGTGACATATTCATTTTTGGCTATGATTTTAATTTCATTTTTCTACTAAATCACATATGCTTAATGATTTTGTTCAGATTTTCAGGTCGATTCATGTGACCGTTGTGCTTGTCGTTTTATATTTTGCCACTTCGTCGTTTCTATTCAATGTTTTGCTTGTTCAAAACAAACATTGATGTATATGAAAAATATTTTGTTTTTCGACATTTATTGATTTTGAAAATGTTCATTTTGTTGCTGTGCATTTGGAGAAAACAATGGACGGCTTTTTAGGCGAAAAAAAAGTACAAGGAATCCTTTGATTTTTGTTGTTGATGTTGTTGTTGTTGCTCAAAGAATTGCTAGAATTGCTAATTTGACGCTTCCTAGTAACGAACGAAAAACAAAAAACATAAACCGAAACGTTGTGAAAAGACGTTGTGGATTGCATTTTGTGTGAAATGCTAAAAGCAAGGTATACTTTTTTCGGAACAATTTGTTGTGATTCATCGCATGCATGCCTGTTTTAATGTGTGTCCATGTGAGTATATATGCTCATTTCAAGAGGACGAGATGTGTGTGTGTGTTTATGGGCAAGATAGAGACAAAATGAATGAGAGTTTTTTTTTATGAGAAATGTCCAAAATGAAACCATCGACAAATTAAGAAGAAGGAGATGATGACGAAAACCGAAAGGTAAAAATATATTGGAAGATCGGTTATATTCCCAGTAAAAAAAAATTCAATTCAATGTTTGATGGAGTTGGTTATAATCTGAAGAGGTGCATAAGCATCACAGCAGAAAAACATATAGAGAGAAAATAAAAAAAAGCGGTTGCGGAAAAAATACTAGCAATAAGCATACATAAACAACCCTAACCGAGAAGAATAGAATGTATTTGATCTTAGGCCATGTTGTACGTCAATTTATGCACATTGAATGCACCGCCGTTAAGCCGAACCATTTGAAATTTTGTGTGCTATGTTGTTTGGCATAGAGTATATTGCTTGTGTGATTAACAACAAATAGAGAGAACAGAGAGAGAGAGAGAGAGAGTTCACATATTAATCGGCAAGAGGCATATATATGCCACAGGAATAAAAATGCATACTACATGGACACGAACATACAGAGAGCTAAAGCGAACGAAGAAAAAAATATCAACAACAAACTAAAATACCCAACATACACAGAGTGAGACCTACCGAACAAACGAATGTCGCATCTGTTCTCACAGCACACTGAACGCACAAGAATTTCTCTCTTTCGATGTTCGTATGTATGTTTGCGTCCGTTAATAAAGAGGGAAGCCAAAGAATAACAAAAGGAACACAAATATGCTCTTTGAATATATTTTTTGTCCGTTAAAACGAATGAAACAATATTTTTTGTTCACTGCAACAACAATCAGGAGAAAAAAATGAATATAACATTGTTTGTATGCAGAAAAATTGTCTTTGACACATTGCACTTTTTTGTTTTGTTTTTAAAGTCATTTTTATTGAGGTGAAAATTAAACATGCACAAAATTATAATTTTAAGCGAACACTCTTAGATTTGTAAATTTCATTTTAATTAATTTTTTAGATAGTTCTTCTTTTGTTCCTATCAAATTTTCGTGAATTTGATAAAATGTCGTTTGTTGTTATGTTCATATGCTATGCCTAACACAAAAAAAAAACTATCTTAATTCGAAAGACTTGTCGCTCGCAGGAATTGCATCAAATCCTAGAAAAATTAGCGCGCCAAATCTACTATATGCTTTTTGTAGACTAAAAATAATCTTAATGAGTCTTACACCGAAATTCGACTTCTTATACACTATATTCTTCATTTGAATGCAAAATAGAAACGAGATATCTCATCATGTTCAACAAATCAATAACAAAATAAATTAGATTTTTTTTTGATCAACAATATACCCGAAAATTTGTTGAATAAATTATTATATATGTATATTTGCATCTGCATATAATTAATATGTTCAAATTTTTTTAAAATAAAAACTCTTAAATACAATGTTTTTTTTCCCTCTGACTTTGTATTCGAGTAAATACTAGCAGAGAAAAAGGATAGAATAGAAAAGAAGAATGAAATTTGTAACAAAATAACGTTTTATAACTTATATTGACGTAAATAATTCATTACTAGTTTTTTACTATATGTTCGACCAAAACAAAGTTAGACGGTTCGTGTCGCGATTTTTTATTTGTGAATACAAAAAAAGTCCGATTTGAACGACCGTGATAATTTCGATACAGGTACTTGTGAAGTTTTGCAATTTCAAGTACTTACACTTTTTTAATGCTTCTTATAATTTTTTAAAGTTTTTTTTTTGTTTGAAATTTCAATAGATTAAGTTTATTTATTTTTTACAAATGCCTTGAAATGTGGCCGAAAAAGAAATCCAATTCATGACTCTGTCGCATATACTGTTCCATAAACTAGAAACAATATCAATTGCAACAAAGTCATATAGAGAACCTTCATCATTGGATATTATTATTTTAAAATTCATACGTGATTCAATGTGTATACTTGAATAATTAAGAGCTAACATCTTTTACTATAAATTTAAAAGAGATTTTTTTTAAATATAAATGAACAAGTTGAATTGCGTTGAGTTTTTTTGGAATTATAGCTGCAACTGGCTATGCTATATGTTCTCTATCGTATAAAATAAATTAATAAAACTATAAGCTAAATTTGAATGTTCATCATAAATTGACGACTGTGTGTCAAAAAATCGTCATTAAACTCGAACGAATAAAAAAAAATAAACATTTTTTTAAAGCGAATATTTTAAACTATCATTGAAAACCGGCTTCTTTGAAGCCAGTAAATCAACGGTCTAAGACTAAAGCCATGAATTAATATTGCACTTCCGGCCATTTCCTTATCACAAATCCTAACTTATACCATATGCTTAATTGCTAAATTGATTGTTTTTGTTTTTAAAGATTTATTGCACGTTTAATATACAAAACAAAAACGAAATTTGTATGGGATTGCACGTCTATTTAATTAAAATTACTTATACAATTAAGTTTTATCAATTTTTAATTTGACAATTGCACCATTTCGACCATTTTTTATCATTTATTTTATACAGTTTTTGTTCGTCATTTAAATGTATTATTTCGGCGTGAGAACAAGATAAACGAATCAATGTAACTCATGCCGACTCGTTTTTTTTTTCATAGCAAATGTACAGCGCTAAAAGCTAAATATGTATATGTGTATAGGTTTTTTTTTCATAAATTGATTTAAAGAGCGTCGCTTTGTTGTTGAGAATTTAAAGGGCGTCATTGACAAACATCTGGTTATCCATTGACCTAAGTGTGGAAAGACATGTATGATGCCGAATGGTGTTCTTAGATGTATACCTATAATGGTTAGATGCAATTTTGATAGAAAAAAAAATGCGTCTATTGCATTTGCTCCCTTGCAACCATGTTTCAATTGTTAAACGAAGTTAACGTGTTGATTTCGGTTGAATCGAAAAATTCGTTCCCTTATATTGCAATAGTATTAGTAATCGTTATTTCTAATGACATAAATATATTTGAAATATAATCTGTTTAGAATATATAAATAAAAATGGCAGTGTTTCTAAATTAAATGTTCGTCTCACATTCTCACGCTCTTTTCAATCATTCATTTTAAACTGCTGCAATGTTGTTCAATTGTCGTCAGTTAATTTTCGAATATTTTTGAAGAAAACGGAATGTGTTTCAATACTTTCGGCGCCTGATTCGCATAATTCGTCTGCATTGTATTCGCCATCACTTTCAGATGACATGCCGCTGCTGTATCGATCATCATCAGACGATGAATAAATGCGCACCTTGATTGCGTCGTCTTTATCGATTGGTATTGCCTTTGGAATGAAATCAATGAGTTGAGCCGATGGCACTGTAGCACTAATCGGTGCCGAAATCATTGGTTTTGTAATTTGAGGTTTCGGTCCATGTTTTGCCGATGACACCGAATTGCGATCGCTTTCCGAATTTTCTTTTATATCTTGCATGCGATGCAAGTATCGTTGTCGCCAATCTCGATCATTGCTACTGCCATTGCATAATGCTGCTTTGCTCGTTGATGGTTCCGGACAATTTTTATCCATTTTAAAATTGAAACGAGCGTACAGATTTTTCTTTTGCGCACGTGATTCATTTGAATCGGCACTGATGTAACCGTAATCCATTTCAGTTTTATTTGGTTTTTGAATCATATCCGATGAACTGGACGACGGTGTACGCGATAAAATTTCAATCGATTGTTTATCGCTGGATGCCGTTGTGATACTATCATCACATGTACTCATCGATGCAATACCATCATCTCGATCGGTTGAATCGGTGAATGTTGCCATTTTATCCACTAAATCATATTCACCACGAATTTCGGTTTTTGTATGTCCAGTGGCCGTTGCATTGTTTCCACCTTGAAATTTTGATGTTGCCATATTGACGAACTTTTTCCATGCATGCTTTAAATCCTTTGATTTTTTAACACGATCACGTATGCCTAATGCAATTTGCATGCCATTTGTTGGTGGTGAAATGTCAACGTGAAACACTTTTGTTGGTGTCATTTGATTCAATTGCGGATTAAACGTGCTTGTATCATTGGCCAATTCGGATATTAAATGTTTTGTATTGTCAATGATTTCGGTTGATAAATCGATGTCTTTGAGTCGCAATGATTTCGATGAAATGATTTCAATTTTATCCAAATCTTCGGATGCACCAAAATGATTATTCAAATTGGCCTCTTGATTTAAATTCGATTTATAATAAAATTTTGTGCTGCCCGTTTTCAGTGTGCTCGTGTCACTGTTACAATCGGATGGTTGTTCGGGACGTAATGAATGAACGTCACTCAAATTCATGTATTTTGGATTATTTTGTAATTCACTGGCGCGTCTAGCTTCCAAATTATAAACACCGGAGCATTTTGATGTCTTTCGTACCTGCGAATAGGCTTGTTTCAGTGAATTTTGTTCCGAATGTGGTTGTGGTTCCGAAATGCCAGTTATGTCAGTACTTTCACTAGTACTACTGCTGCTCAATGTTTCGCTTATAAAATGCACGTCATCTTCAATATTTTGAATATTTTGAACATTTTGCATTTTCTTATCAATTACACTGTTGACTATCAAATCATTGTTACTCCGTTTGTTTTTATTATTAATTGTTAAATCATCGTTGGGCAATGCAAACATTTTCTGTGCATTTTTTTCGTTGTTTTTAATATTGGCCACATTCAATGGAACCTCATAAATATTATTCGAATCAAGTGGTATAATGTCAGGCGGTAGAATTTTCTTCATATTTTTATCAAGCGTTGTTTGACGTTGTCGCTTTGAGTGTCTTGCTTCAAGCGTTAAAATTCGACCATCAAATTCATTTTCGGTTAGACCTGGTCGTTGTTTTAAATTTTTCTGATTTTTCGCTTCGTAAATCTCTCTCAAGCTGCTAAAACTCTTTTCCAAATCATTATTGTTCATCAATGCACCAATTTCCGATAGATAATTTCCTAAACTGTTGCTTTTAAATGAACCGGACGATCGTAGCACAACCTGACTATCGTTGTTATTATTATTATTATTAAAATAGCTCATATCTGGCAACGATGATAGATTCGAATCCATGAATTCTTTGTTCGATTTTCCTCGATTCATGTATTCATTTGCTTTGTACTGTCGATTTGGCCAATCGTTTATATTTCGTTGATTGTTGGGAATATCTTGAAATCGTTCGGATGGCATTTTCGGTGTGTTATTGAATTTTTTCGGTTTGCGATCCAATGTGTCCGGCTCAAATTGATCACTATCGGTGGATATTTCTTCATCAGTTGGTTCATGTTCGACTTCAATGGTCATACTCCCATGAAATGGCGTGTTGTACATGATACGCGGCTCTCGTGATGATTCCGATGATCGGCTCGATTGCAAATATGCCTTTGATACGCTGCCAATGTCTTCATAAATTGATGGCGGTTTTGGTTTTTTCGGAAAGTTCCGAATTACTTTCATTGGATCGCCGTCTTTTCGATATCCTTCGACCCGATCATAAACCGTATTACCGATTTCAACCTCTTCCTCAAGTGGTAATGCTGAACTTAACGATGGACTTGGTTGACTGCTTAAATCGGAACTATTATTTGAATGCGGCGTTATTGAATTGCGTATCATTTTATTTGTATTTGTTCGTTCCAAACTGTCCGTTTCGTAGTCGACAATTAAATAATGTGGTGATTTTCGATGATAAATCGGCGAATCGGGTTGATATTGTTTTCGCCCCAATGTATTGCTATTGTAATCGGGCGGTGGAATTAATGTCTCATCATTATCATACGAATTGAAACGTTTGCGTGAATATGTGCTGCTTGGATCATCATAGTCTGGTGTGGGTACATTTAAATGGCCGTACATTTGATTGGCCGGATTTTGGGGTGGAAAATCTTTTGTAATAGCCTCATAAACCATGTCCGGTACATTTTGTAAATTTTTTACCATATTTTCTTGAATCAATTGCGCTGGATTTGCATATTGATCCAAAACATCGAAACGCTTTTTCGCTGATGATTGACGTGATTGGCTTGAATTACGTCCCGATTTACTTCGATGTGATAATGATGGTGAACTCAGCATAAATTGTGGATTATTATAGATTTCACTACCCAATAACGATAGACCATTGTAAATATCCGTATTTTCTAACAAACTGGCCGCTTTTAATTGAATCGCGTCCGCGTTTACGTTTGTATTTTTAACAATACTGTTATTGTTATTACTTTCAATGTTAATATCGGATTTGAATACTGGCGCCTGTCGTTCGGGTTGCGGTTTCATTTGCTGTGAGTCTTTCTTTAGGTAATGTGAAATGATTTTCGGTGCCGTTGATGGAATTGGTGGTGCCTTACGTTTCTTTGAATTTTTACTGCCCAGACTATTTTCTTTGACCGTATCACTGTCCGAACTGGAGCCACTATCATTTTGTTTCGCATTCGACGACGGACTATTATTCACTTCGATCGTACTAATGACGGTTGCTTCAACTTTTTCCGTTGTTTGTTCGGTTTCATCAGTGTCGCCTTCTTCTAAAATGTTACTCTCATGCTTTGATACACCCTCCAACCATTTACGAATGCTATTTCGTTTTTCGCCGCAATTCTTGCAATTAACGCCAGCTTTTTCATTAGCACAGCCCGAACAACCGGCACACGATTTTTTATCGCCTTTGCTCATATTCTGTTGTACCAACGATTTTGAGCCGTTAGCTGCATACATATTTAGATGCTCTTCGGGAATCATTGTTAACGACGGTTGAAAACGTTTCGATGCCATTTTATACTTTGCCAATGTAATCACTTCACGGATCTTTGACAAAAATTCAATCGCCGCCGGCGGTGGAGACTACAAAAAATGTGGAAAAGAAATTTTTAATTAAAATCAAATCAATTTTCAAATTTGATTTAATTTATTTTAAACAATCACATACCATTAGTAAATGTGGTTCAAAATATGCCGGATTGAAGTATAGTTTTCGGCGCATTGTACCAGATCTGAAAGAAATGACGAAAAAATATTCATATTATTTTTTTGCAAACGTAAATTAATCATTAAAATGTAAAAAAACGTCCTGTCCACTTACACGATAGCTTTCATATTTTCTAATTTGTCTTCAGTTGTCATGTCTTCGATAATCGATACATTTTCTTCGGGTAAACATTCTGTCTCTTGAGTTGGACTTGGTGTTGTATTTTCACACCCATCGCGCATCTGACCACTGTTTGAACTGTGCGAATGTGAAGCATTTTGCATCTAAAAAGGAAAAATAAATTACGAAATAGTACTCAATTGAGAAATAAAATAAATAATATATAATAATATATAAATATATAAATTATATTTTCTCTTTCTTAAATCAAACAAAATTGTGAATGGTTAAAAAACTTACGTTTTTAAGTAATTCATGCGAACTAATGTGTTCTTCGCCACATTCCGAATTCGAGTTTGACATATCGCTGATGAATCCCGAATTATCGCTAAAATTTGGATAGTGTTTTAAGAGTGGATTACTTTTAATAACGCCTTGTTCTTCATTGCCAAGCCCATTCAATGACATATTTCGATTTAAATTCTTATGCCGATCGGGCATTATTCCACCCGTAATTGAACCCGATGAACGATCATAGGTGCTGCGATTGAAACCATTTCCAAAAGTCACTTCGTCGTTTTGTTGATATTCGGATTTTCGTTGTGGCCCATCGTTGTCGTTGTCATTGTTTGATGTTCGGGTTTTGTATCGTTTGACATGAATATAGAGAAATACCGAAGCCACATAAATCAAACCCAAAATCAAACTGCATATGGCAATCAGAATATACTCCTTCGCCGATAGGCCATCTATTGACGCGAGTGTGCTTGAAGTGGATTCTGATTGGAATGACACTTCTGTTACATCTAAAAATTTCAAATGGTGGAAATTGGAAAACATTTTCTTATTAGAAATGAGCGGTTTTATTTGGTTCGATTATTTCTTATAAATGGAGATTGAAGGTAAAAAAATAGAAAATCGTAATTTTCATTTCTTTTAAATCCACATCAATTGGTAATAGTCGCATAGTTCATTGAAATATGGATTGAATAACCTTGGCGATCGTTGAACCGTATTTATATGTATGTCCGTGCTGTAATCTAAGTCGTGATTGCATTGTCCAGCGAAAGTCAATGGTTATTGCAACCAAATACATGTATTATAATTTGGTTTACATTTGTGCCTCATTAAGATTATTATCAATTCACGCATTTAGCAGAAAAAAAAGAAAAATGCATGCACGCGTCTTTTGTTAAACAGTTTGACTTATTTATTTCAAATTTGTCATCATATTTTACACTCTCTTGCTATCGGCTGCATCTCAATTTGAATTGCGACACATTTCTTCTCTCTCTCTCTCTCTCTCTCTCTCTCTCTCTCTCTCTCTCTCTCTCTCTCTCTCTATCTATCTTCAGTTAATTGGATATATGAATCCGGTTTGATAAGCATAACAAACAAACAAAAAACGATTTAACACGGCTACTTTGTGTCACGTTCAAAAAATTATCTTATCACTGCATCAATCGTGTTCATCGTCGTTATTCATGATTCGTTTGATGGCGTGAAAATTTACTTACATAAAAACGTTCAGCAACAATAATAGAAGATTATCGTCAATTGATTATTTAACAAATGTGCTGGTAAACCGCCAGTCCGTTAAAATAACATTTGTTATTATGGCAAATTTCAATTGATGTTAATGAGTTTGAAGTTATGAAAACCAAAAATAAGCAAAGACCAAAACAAAAACATTACATTTTTTTTTGTTAGCAGTTGCAAAATGTAAGCGGTGCAAATTGTTCCTCGTGCATTCCTCGTGTCGGAACGATTCTTGGAAAAATGTCAAATTTTCAAACAAAAATATGCCAAAACTCTACGAAACTAAATATCTCATGATGTGTCGAAATGCGGCTGAAGTCTTTTGTCGAAATGCCGACGCTTCAATTAAATTAAATTCAACGTTCGTGTGTATGTTTGCATTTATTCGTACACAATCTTTTGTTATTGCGTTTTTTCACCACTCTTCTCATTAACAATCGTCAATTTCGGAATGTGAAAAACTTGCGGCAGTGTGAATAGATCATTGTGTACATTTGAATTTTATTTTGCACCATATGTGAGAGAGTCAGATGTGCGATGACACATTGCTCTCTCTCTCTCTCTCTCTCTCGCTCTGTATTTTTCTTCTTCATTTCATTGCATTTTAAAGATTCAATTTATGATTTTCGCCACCATGTGCGCGCCTCATGCATATGTGTTTGTGTGCCTTGGTTCGAGCGAAATTTGCACAAAATTCACACGTTGATAATAAACTGTCTATAGCATCTACGTGCGCGCATCATATAAAAACAAATCAACAAACGGTTGGAAAAAGTGTGTGTGTTTTTGTTTTGTTTTCGCCAATAATGGTACTTAAACTGAACGCGAATTCAACCTGAAAACAATGTAAGCAAAAAAGATTTCTACACAAATCAACGACGGTAAATATGGTAGCAATGACACATTACTTGGGAGGTGAAATGATGCACACGAAAAAAAAAAGTGAAATCCAATATATATAGAGAGTGGTGTGTGTGTGTGTGCGTGGTGTTTTCTTCGTGCGCAAAAAATCGAATTGAATCATTTGTTCGGGAATGTAATGAATGAAGAACGTGTTGGTTGCGCTTTGTCTTATTGTTTTGTTATGCGTTGTCTTGTGTGTGCGTATATTTGCAAATCGTTAGTCGTTTTATATCCATTTTCCATTCGTGTACCGATTGTTGTTGATTTTTAATTGATTAAAAATGTTGCTTTGATCTTTTTGTTTCTCTTTTGCCTGACTAAAACTGCATGAGAATTCCATACCACACTATCGCGCGCACACACGCGCGTACAACTGCTTTATTTTAAGACCAGTACCAACGATTGCGTTTTGAGATTGAAATTTAAAATTCCAATTTTGCGACGCAACCGATTCTCTTTTTTTTCGTTTGATATCTTCGTCTCATAGGCAGATGCGTGCACATGGGGATAAATGATGGCGATTTACAGTCGCGATACTTAGATGTAGATCAGGCTTACAGGCGAATAGCAAAATTCCGTATAAATGTTGTTTTCTATTGCGTTCCCATTGAATGTTTGTTTGCTTGTATGAATTCCACATAATTTTAACTAGGATTAAGGTTAGCCGTTTCAAGTCAGGACTGGACGTTCCAAATTAGTGAGAGAAAAAAAAGAAGAAGCAAAAACCATTTTTGAAATTAAGGCAATCGATGAACTGAAACAAGTCCATGTATGTGGCATTGAATGACCAGCTCATCCCGTTATTATTGTGAATAGGTAAATGCAGTTACTCTGTTTATCTTCGGTGTTGTGTGTGAAAGAGTGTTTTTTTTTATTTTATTTCGTTGTTGCTCGTACATATTTCGATTGAAATGCGCAATGCACCAGTCATATACATGATCACGTCGAATGAGTCCGTTACAATGTGCACGGTACAATATTTAGCCCGATGGATTGAACGCATAAAGACTACACGAGAGAGAGAGAGAGAGAGAGATGTTTTGTGCAGAATTGCAATTGCTGATCGCTAATCCAATGCCTGTCGATAAATCGATCTTTATAACTAATTTTACCAATAATGTCAATACTTACTGTTAATATGTTTAATCGGCATTCCAGCAACGCGAAATGCAACGCATGGCGTGAAGATGTTTTGTGTAGATTTTACTGATTTCATTGCGGCCCGATCTGGAAACAATAAATTTTAATATTAATTGGAATTGTTGAAAGTATTCAAAGATGTGAAAACAAAACGAAATCCATGAAGAAAAAGAAGAAGTAAAAAACGATCCGAAACGAAAACACGATCACATTGACACTCAGAGCAGTGCAGAGTTCCAAATGAATTGGCCGAGGCTTTTGTTTTAACATGCATCTATGAGTGCTGCACAGTGTGGGTGGACACATGAAAAGCAAACCAATTCCAGTTTCAAAAATGCAATCGTTTTCGATGTTAAAACTATAAACAACACAAAAACTAATATTATGAGTTTTGAAATTGCGATGATTTTTCCAGTTTTATGGTCATTTCTGTTGGGGTTTTCACATCATTTAAACTTGAATGTTAACATCTTTTTTTCGTTTTGTTTGCGCATTCAATGCAGTCTATTGCCACTACTATCATCATCTAACCGGTGCCATGCAATCGTATGGTTAATTATTTATTACACAAGTTGAGACAGTAGGAGTCGTAAATTTGATGTTTCTGTTTGAAATTGTGGCCCGTAATTTATGTATACATTATACAGGAAATGTACAGAAAGAAGAAAAAATAAGCGGTTGTGTATGTGCGTCTGGCAACAGCAGAACCACCAGCAGCAAGCTTCATTCGCGACCACGATGACGACATGGTGATGCTCACCAAATTTACAACAACAACAAAAATTCCAAAAATGGGAAGTGGACAAAAAAATATGCATCTGAAACGGAACAATTTCTTTTACCTGTTATATCATTATCGATGCCTATAATTGTTTCACGACACATCAATGACACGAGAATTAGACGACCCTGCATCTTAAATCGCAAATCCGATTCACCAAGCCACTGCCAAATAGAACAAATTGCGAGAAAAAGAGAAAAAAAAAACACAAACAAAATGTATAAATTAACTATTTCGATCGCTTGTTATGCACATATATATTGCATTGATCAAACATATAGTGTACAGCTACGGCCCTTTTAGTTAGACTACTTATATTTGCAAATATTTAAGCTTCATTTAACTATTTGCCATTACCATTATTTGAAGCAGAGTTGAAGAAACACAAAAAAAAAGTACATGATCAATCGACTCTATTAGCTGAATAGATTGAGTATTTATTTTATTTTTTCGTTTTACCTGCAAAAAGGTTCTGCCTTCATCTCGGAATAAACGAAACGGAACATCTAAATCGATCGCATTACGTAACTCCGTCCATCCACTTGTTGTTAGATACTGTGCTCCAGATACAGCACATATTGGCGCTTTAATACCTGCAATATACACACACAAAAAAAAAACCAAAATGGACATGAATATTCGACGATGCAATTGTAAACCAAATCGAGATGCATTTCTCGTTACCAACATTTTCCTTTTTGTTTCAATTGATGCAGCAAAACAGTTGCTGCATCGATATTACAGTGTTTACTTGTTCATGCTGTTTGCTGCCAAACCGAAGATTTATTCTCAACACACATTTACAGATAATAGGCACAACCCAATCGCACTGATTGTATCGACGAATTAATTTGCAAGCAAACAAATAATAAAATAAACAAACAAACAAAAAAAAAGACTCCGCTTGAAGTGGATCTCGTGCTGAACATTGTGGATGCCGAATGGTGTGGTATTTGCAATATCGAAACAAAGCGATGACAAGATGCAAACACAATGTAAAAAAGAATTCGAAGTTTGTTTTATTTCAGACCGGAGAGAAATGGGACGATGTTGATTCCTTTAAAAGGTACATTCAATTTATGTTTGTAGTTCATGCGAAAAAAATAACAAGGAATTAATTGAGTGCCATAAATTCAAAAACAGAAATACGATTCATTGACTCGTCAATTTCGAATTGACTGCAAAAATGCATGGATTTTATGAAGAACACACGAAGCCGAAGTTTCATAAATAATCGACAATTAGATGGTGATGATGATGAAGAAGAAATTGCAATGAAGTTTTCCATCAAAGATGAAAAATTGAATTTCACACATCAAGAACATTATGTGTTTGATGTCAAAACAGTTGGCTACCGTAACGAATCATTATTTATTCAACGTCGATTTTTTTTGTATAGCGGAGCGTTTGACGGGTTTCGCGTCTACAGTTTTTTTATTCATCTTATTCGTCTCACCTTGGCTGGTGAAGGAAACATCAAAAAACAAGAATTGGTTCGTAAATCTTGTGTATATGTGTGTGAAGGTATTTAAAAAAACGGTTACCCGATAGCGTGTTCGCTTTCAGGAGATTTGCTTATTTATTGCTTATTTAAGATCGGCTCAGCATTTTAATAGATGAGAAAGGAAGAAGATTATGATAAAAAAAGCAGCAGTGACAAAAAAAAACATCTAATCAGCGAAAAACAATAATAATTGTATGTAAGTATAAATGAGAAATGGTGTAAAGAAGCAATAAAAAGCCATTGAAGAAAATCCGTCGTTAATAATGATCGGGAAATGGCACGCGATTCAAAAGCATAACTTTAACGTAAATATTAGGAATTCAATGCACACAGACACACATAGAAAAACGGCCACAGACATTTTCTTTTTATTGTTCACGAACGAAGATGGGAATGCACGACACCAAGTAGCCATTGGAGGAAATTAAGCGAGTCGCAAAGAATAAATCGTTTATTTTCAAATTAATTAGCATTTTGTTCGTGGTTGGATTTTTTTTATTGGTTCCGGGCGTTGGCTGCGCGTTACTTTTTATTTATTATCCAATCAAATAGAGACTTTAGTCCAATTAAATAAGATTTTTGTTAATCGAAATAAGTGGCGTTTTTTTGATGAATAACTTTTTTTGGTTTCGTTATATAAAAAATGAAAAAATATGAAAAAAATGCAAATGAATCGAATGTTTTGTTACATGGAAGCCAAATAGATGAATGACATCAAGAAATCATAATATCGCACATGTGTACTTTGGTGATCAATAGCTCTATAGTTTGATAAATCAACACAACTCAGACGAAAAGAAACAAAAATTCGCATTTAAAACGTTGATCGATCCAGATTCTTTTAAGAATTGCAATGTAGGTTATTCGGATAACTGTTCTGAAAATAAAAAGACTTTCAAACAATAGGCACATTTGTTTTGCAGCGATTAAATAACACTCATTCATTGTGTAAACAAACAAACGTAAGCTACTCCATTCTGATTTTGATCACTGGATTATATAGATCGATAAAAACAAATTTTATAAACCAAAATCAACTCATCAGCTGTGAGAAAAGAAAATTAAAATGTCACCCAAAAAGCGGTGCGATTTTATTTTAAATGTAAATTTATCGTTTGCATTCACTTTAACCGACTTCAATTCAAATGCAAATGCGAAGATGTGCATACATCTTTACCGTTAAAGCATCTTCAAAAAATTCAAGCTAATTTAAGTCAGCCTTCGAACCCTTATCGAAAAATAACATCTCTTTCTCTTTTCGTTTCTCCGGCTTAAGCTTTTGTTTCGTAATTTAATATTTACAACGGTTTGCAAAACAACGAGAACGAGACAGAGATAGTGTGATAAAAACGAAGCGCAACCAGAATGAAATGGAAAGAAGAAACAAACAAAAAACCTTATGATTGCTTGTGATGAATCCGTTAATGAAATGATGTGCACGATATTTGATTGAAATTGAGTGGTCAATTTACAGATTTTCAGCGCTCACCTTCGCATTCATATCTGAATATATACATTTTTTTTGTTGCGGAACAGTGAATAGATAAAAATAAGATATGATCGCCTTCTTATGTGTTCATCATAACAAAGAGCAGGTGTAATAAATGACAAAATGATGGAGCTGATGTGATGGCGAAAAATTTATACAACGATAAGACAAACACTTATCGTAGGAGTGACGTATTTATTGTGCTCTATCCAAAACTGTAACATTCAGAGGTCATCGAACATTTGGTTGCTCAAAAAAATCAATGATTTGTATAAAATGGCGCTGAAAAAGAAAACCAATCAACAAACACTTAACGCAAATATTATGCATTGAATACAATGATTGTCATTTAATGTAAACAAATGGTTGAACTTACAGTCGCTGAATTCTATGAATCCATTCAACTATCGGCATGCGGTTGAACAATTTTATTTTTCTTGGAAATATTTAATTTACACTTGATCAGCTTGATTTACCGATATATTCATTAGATAAAACTCACGCCGACCAAAAATTCGTCGATTACACGCTGAAACTACAACAATTTCTAACTACATTATGTGCGGACTATTTCAACAAAATATATTGCTGAAAAACGAACAACCGTGTTGCGGTAATCGAAAGAAGGTAATTTCAATGTTCGATCAATTGAAATCAAGTGTAAAGAAGATGTTGAACTTTACGTGGTGAGAGACCCGAAATAAATGAACTCACATTGTTGATAAATAATGAAACGCGACCAATGTATTGTCTACTGTTCGATGTGGATTGGTAAATATTGAATTTGAGTGAATTTATGGCCGTGGAAAAAGTACCGAACGAACGAACAACAAGCAAACGGAAAAATCAATGGAAATGAGAAAGCATTCTCGAACAATTGAAATACTTTGTAGAAAATGAACGATTTTCAAGCGTTTCGCCTTTTTTTTCTTCAAACCAGCCAACGTGGAAACCCACGTAACTTTTTTTTATGAAATTCATTTCACTTAACAAAATACCGAACAACAAATTCCACAATATTCTTTTGCAATGCAATTTTAGTGAAGTTAGATCATAATCACGGATTGTAAATACTTTAGTCATTTGAACAAACGATTGAGAAATCGACAATTATCGCGATGGCACATAAATTAACGCATTTATGTCGATTTTAAGTCGCAAATACCAATTGGCCGAAAAAGAAGAGAATCCACCACAATTTGTGATATGCAAACGATGCACATTCATTGCAACGACATCGCAAATGAATTTGATTTCAAGATATGGTTTGGTGTGTGTTTGTGCTGACACTAACATTTCCATCACTTGCAAATACATCATCGATACAAATGAGTTTGCTAATTATTTAAAATCTACACACAACGATGTAATCTGGACATGATCATCATTGATTGCTGTTATTTATGTCTATAGTGTGTGTGTGCTTAACTACAAATTGGAACTTACCTTGAAAGCTAATCTTAAGAGAACATAACATCAATGAAATGGTTTCCAGTTCTCGATTCGCGTATGGAAATTATTTTAATTTTAAATTGTTTTTTTCTTAAAATAATATATACTTACTGTTGAGATCCAATGATCTTGAGGGATGGATGATTTGGCCGCGTAATGGCAAGAATACAAATGGTATTTTCTCCGACGTCGATCCGCTCACGAACGGTGCCAACGTACATTCTGTCACACAAGCACGCATACAAAAATAATATGGTGAAGAAATAAAAGAAGGGGAAAAATGAGTAATTTTTTTTTATTGAATATCACGGTTATTTAGATGCACATTAATTCATTTTCGTCGAATTTAAGCGAACGTTTGCATTTGCTGTGTGATAATTTCGTTTATTGCCATACTTTTTAAAACTAACGAAATGAAAACCATCAAGAGAAATGTGGAGAACAAAAAAAAAAAGAAGATCGAAATGAGTGTAAAAGTTCGAAGATGTGCACAAGTTTCATTTTAAATGAAATTTTTATTGTTTTTCTTCACTCAAGTGACAATAAAAACGGCACCGAAAAAAATGTATGCGACAACGGCGTCTTGCACCTGATTGAGAGACACAACGTGGCCCCGATGGGTGAAATAAATAAGGCAATATCATTTTAAGTCGATATTCGTGGTCAAATGCTAAAGTGATTCGTGAGCTACTAATTTTATAGGTATGGAAGTTCTTTTTTCTGTACGCAATTCTCAGATGCGCGGCAATGTCATGTGAACGCTATAAAAACATTGTTCTAATGGACGCATTAAAATCAAACAATTTCAATCCAAACGGTTTTTTTGCTCTTTTCTTTTGGATCGTTTCCAGAACGATGCTGGTGAGTGCTTCAACTTAATTGCTATAAAATTAAATTGCACGACATTTTGTGAGTGGAACAAGTGGTTGATATCGAAATAAGTACCATTTAATGCAATTAAATATCAATAAAAATCGAATTTGTATTTTAATTTTATTCTCTTTTTTTTCGGTTGATTTGTATGTGGCCGGTTATGTGACCCGTTGTCCAATAATTTAATAAAATTAATGATAAACCATCGTCAACCATTTCAAAACTGTTCATTTCAAAAGAACAAAACAGTAGAAAATTTATGAATGAGAACATTTTTTTATCACTTTTAAATTGCTCAATATTTGCGTAAATTTTAATGCTTTTTTCGGTTTTTTTACTCACAATTCGACGTTACCTTTTATCCTACATGGACATTAATCTGCGGTGACTTTTTATAATAAAAATCTTTGATTTATATAAATTTAAAGAGAAAAACTTCACATCATTATAACTTAGTATAAAGTCCTAATTCCAGAAATAATCGCCCATAGAAAATTGGCTACTGTTTCAAGTCGATTTGTTTCCATTTGGTGTGTGTGTGTGTTTTTTTGTTCTCGATTAAGAAATGTTCATCGGTCAACGGTATCGGGGCGGTGTTTTTCGACATAAATAAAGACTAAATCTTTGGTCTACTCTACGAAATAAAAGTGTTGAATTAATAATATAAATTCGTTTGGACTGAATGATTCGCATTGATTGCACATCACCGACACCCAAGTGCATTTAATCGGTCTGTGGACTATACACAGACGAACGTATTTCGTTAAATTACATCTATTAGATTTTGTGTAACAATTGTTATTACTTGTGATTAAATTCATTGTTGTGTGTTGGTGTGCGCTTTTTTGTTACTTCCAAAGATTATTGCTTTTACGAAATACTTTTTTAAAATTATTTTATGCACGTCTTTTTGATTCTGTTGATGCCGTCATTTTTTTCTTTCTTATAATACCTTTTCATAAGTATATACATAATCGAAAGAAGCCATTTACAACAACTTTATTGTATAAAAATGGTTATTTTTTTCTTTCTTTGATCGTTGTTCGAACAATCAAACAGTTAGATTTTGATGAAATGCAGATGCATCCATAGCAATTTCAGCCAGTCTTTCATTTCGATGTTGTACGTTATGTTATGCATCCGTTTCATTCTGACATTTCATAGATAAAAAAAAAAAACTAGGTAATTGGCATCGAAAAACAACAAAGCCGTAATCGATTGCGTAAATAATGTATGCAGTATTTTTTCTGTATTTAACCATTTTTTTTTCTCTCTTCATCTCTTTCGTTTTCCGCGCGAGATGAAAACACAAACGAAGCCGTAACTTTAATGTGTTTCTTTTTCCTCTCCATCGAATAGAAATGATTAATTTTTCGCCGTGAAATGAACGTGAGCGAATATGCAAAGTGAATCGTGTGTATGAACTCTCTGTTCTATAACTCGTTCGTGTTTAGTTTCATCGTGTCAAAAGTCGTTCGGTGTATGATTTCATTCTTTTGTGTATTTACAGTGAAAAACGAAACCGAGACGAGACTCGGAATTCATAATCAAACTGCGCAGCGATTTTGATCGAAATCGAAGCAACAATAAAAACGAAGAAGAAATGAAAATTACCTAACGTATCGAATCATGTGAACACACAAGTGTTCGAAATGAAAGTATATATCAAATTTTTTTTCCCTGTTAGTTTCTCATTAGAATTAGATCGTTTGCCATTATTTGAACAGGGTATGTGCATCAAATGCTCGGGATTTTACTTTTTTCATTCTCTCTCTCTCTCTCCTCTCTCTCTCTCTCTCTCTCTCTCTCTCTCTATGTGGCGTTCAGTCCGACTACACTTTATTTTATTGATTTTTTTACACTTATTTCAATCAATGGAAAAAAGTGCGTCGACTCACAGTTAGATTATTTATTCGAAATATGAGTATAAAATTCTTGCATTAATTCGTCGATTTATCGTTTTTTTTTTCAAGCAATGCAACAATTTTGTTGCGGATTTAATCGAGGAATAATTCAGTAGAAAAAATTGTTTTATGCAAAAGGGAAACAGTGAGATAAATTGAATCATTAGAATAGACCTAAGGCACGCGAAACACGTGTTGAAATGATGTTCACATGAAACGAACGAAAATAAAATTTTGCAGTTCATTTCACCGAAGGCGATTTGGTGTGATCGAATGCCACATCGAAGTTATTCAGTACTTCAATAATTGAACATTGCGTTTCCATACAATGTAGCTTAAGATTTGTTTAATCTGTATATTTTCACATCAGATTCAAATGCGGCTGTCATTCAAGTTTAATTAAGTTTTTTTTTTGAAAATTAAGAAATCTAACTTAAATAATTCAAAATTTGTACAAGATTTTAAACGAAAAACATTGTACTGTCATCCTGCGTTAGGTAGACATTAAAACCTCAATAAATAAAGTTAAATGCACCATTTTCAAAAAAAATTGTAAGTAAGATTTCTGAAAATTTACTGTATTTTGTTCGTTTAATGGTTTCTTCTTCCTCGAATGGACTTTTTTGTTTCACCCAGAATCTATCAACAACGTCTTCATTTCATTGTTGGTCTGATTGATGAACAAGAACCATAAAAAGTGATATCTTTGATTTGCATGAGCAATGAATAAGAAATGAGATTAATGTGTTTCGCGTATGTTTCTTACATACGCTACTTTTTCGCTTCATTTTCTGAAAATGGAAGTAGATGGTTTTTATGCAATTAAGCGTGTGGTTTTTTCTCTCTCTATTCGAAAATCTGAATATTCCTCTCTTTGAGATACATTTGGTTTGCATTATCAGTCTAAATAACAGACTCGTATTTGCACGGGATCTTGTTTTTTTAATAAATAAAACGTTCTATTTTCCCATAAATGCAACAAATCTGCTTCATTGAATTGAAGCATGGCATTTGGCCAACTTGGCCAAGTTCCATTGGTTTTTGCATTTTAAAATTGTTCATTTCGAACAAAATGTGTAATTTAATTACGATACTTATATGTTTTGTTGTAGCCTGTGGGCATAAACTCGATAGAACGAACAAAGAGATTCAATAAAAATGAGCAATAGTCCATTGATTGAAGTGGTTCGGTTATAAACGAGCGTATATCTCTGAACGAAAACTGCGAATTGACTTTGAGCGAAAGCTGGTTCATTAATTTGCGTAATAATTTCCCGATTTTACAATCGAAAATATAGCAGCAATAGAATAAACAAATAATTCAATGACCAAATCACGCATGCGTCAGGGTGTGTAAGGCGATTGAAAGTTTTCACTTGACCAATTTGCAAGTGATCGACTTTTTTTTTCTTACTTAAGCTTCAACAATGCGAAAATTACTTGAAACGAACACAATCTCAATTATATACTTGCCAATGTATTGGCGTACAATCAATTAATACGAAGACCAACAACCATACAAAATTGTAGTTATCGATGCAGTGACGAGAAAAAAAGAGACGAGAGAGAAAACACACGATCCGCCCAAAGTGCCATGATTGAAAGAAACAATTGTAATTTACGCACGCGCATTCCAATCGTCATCACAAGCCAGTCTATTCATTTCCACCAGCATATTTATTCTTCGCACATTTCAACTCTTCCTCTCTCTCTCTCTCTCTATTTTATTTGCTGTTCAATCATATCACGTGCATATGTGGTGAATGCAACATGCTTACCATACCAAACGTTAAAGCCTTTTCGTATTGTCGTAATTTATATCTAAATGCATCATTATCTCTGGTTAAATGTTTTATAGCCGGAAAAAAAGTTTCAGTTAGTGACTAATAAGAAAATTTATTTTTGATTCTTGTTGAGATGAGCGCAAATAGCCGCACATAGATCCCTTATATCTCTCTTTCTCTTGCTGTGTCTGATCGCTTTCGATGTTGGTTCGAACCGCTCATTTTGGCTTTGTTTGTTTTGTCTACTTTTGACAACGCCTGTTGATATTGCGTGCATTTCGCATTACTTACCGATATTTATAAGGCAATAGATTTATTTAGTGGCTTTTTACGCAGTTGTCGTTTATATCTTCAGCTGTGGCTGTGGCCGTGGCACGTTGTTGATTTCATCCGTATGTCTGTGTGTGTTTGTGGTTGTGCATGCCAATGCAATACCGATGACTTGTAGGCATGAGTTGGCAGCTAGTGTCGCACCAGAAGCATACGAAAACTTCTTGATTTATTTGACAGTAAGTAAATTGTTTCGCGATTTATATCTCTTTACCTTAAACATTTTATTGATGATACCATTTCGATTGGTGCCTCGGTGCCAAGATCTATCTCTTTCTCATTCTCTCTCTCTCTCTCCTTCTTTGTCCATCTTCTGTACATCGCCGTACATAATCATCTATAGCAGTAAGTATATCCGTATGTAAATTCGTCGTTTCGCTTTTATTTTTTCACTCTAATTGGCTTCATTTAATATTTGTAGTTGCATTTGTTACAGTTGTTTAAATCACTTGAATGTATTTATGTTGTGTAGTTTACATACGGTGTGGTTTTGTTTTTGGAGCGTCTGCTCCAAAAGTATCTAATCACAAGCAAGAACCTTTGGATGTATGCCATTCAGCATACGTTGTCGATTTTTGGTTAGATTTTGTAACATGTTTTTCTTGCGAACGAGTGGACTGTTGATCGCATGTGCGACTTAATTCTCTATTTTCTGCATTGCCATTGAAGCACATTTTATGCAAATCGATCACACAGAGAATTTGTTGTTTTGTCAATATGTAAGTAGACTGATGCACATTTACTACTTTTCACAGCCAATTGCGTGTGCGCACACACACACATATCACATAAATCGACGACACAATAAAATAATATGGTCGTAGATTGTTTCAAATTAATGAACGGTTTTTCTTTTATATTGTTGAAATATTTTGATTTAATTTCTGTGTAAAATTCCTTCAAAAGTGAATGATAATAATAGAAACTGTGTGTGCGCATTTTTATTTAGATTGGAAAAGAAATGGAAAATACGTTCCTAAACAAAGTAACATTCTTAAACTAAAACTAATTCATAATGACAACAAGCGAACAAAAAAAAAATCGAAACAATTTACCCATGAAAAATAGCGGAATATAAAAACGATTTGCTTTGCAGCGATGAAAATGACCCTTTCCAACTTATATTCAATCGAACTGTGTGTATGTGTGTTTGTGAGTCCAACAGATCGTGTGATCGTAATCTGAAAGAACGACGACAAATGCTCTTCCACTCGATGACTAATGGTTAAGCTCAGATATCTTAATTTCCTCGAGCATGCATTCAATGCCATGGAGTTGTCATGGAGTGCAAATGTAATTACGTGCAATTCTGAACGATAGTCAAAAGGCGGCATGAAATGGCATTGCCAAAGGTAAGACAGGCACGCAGGCATATTCTCAATTTCATCATCAAATGTATGAAAGGAAATTTAAAGTTTGATAGAAATTAACGGTCATCTTGATTGTATGCTTTACCTGCCTCCCCCCTCCCTCTTCAATGACAGCGAGATTACCTCATTTCAAATGAAAAACTTTAATAAACCGAAATTAGAAATTAATTATCGCATCAAAGCAAGAAAAACGAAACAACGGGCTGACATTATTTTGTATTCAAGAGACTTTACTTCTGCGTCCACCGTCCATAATATTTATGAAAATGACTAGATCAATTTTCAAAATGAATATTCATGTGGCATTTTATTCCAGTTTTCCCAAGAAATTGAATTACACCAGTAAATTGGCAGAACATTTCTTCACTTTTTGTTTTGCATCATTTAAATTTCTCCGAGCAGCAATTGCGATTTGGTCTCTTTTAGATGCATGCTGAGCACTCGGCTAAAACAACAAATTGTCGATCGCAAACACACAGCACAGCACAGAACGATCAGCGAAAAATGATATGGCAAAACGATGTGTTGTGGTTTCGGATGTAAATGTATGGTTCAATTAAATAATAACAATAAATACACATCGCAGGTGGTATTTCGATGAATTCCAGTATGGTTTCGTTAGATTTGATTGCAATTTGTTTTTTGTTTTTTTTTTTTGTGTTTGTAGTACATTTGCCATATGGCAATGGGAAAAATGGCTTTTGATTCATGATTATAACCATCAAAAATAAAGAGAAACAAAAGCATATGATTTGTGTATGTGCGCGTGGCTTGCACCAAGTCGCACTGCACACACTGTATGCATCATTATCTGTGACGATGCACTACACATTATGAGTTGGACTAGTGTTTGTTGTTTCACTTTAACACCGATTAAAAACAATTGCACCAAGTCACTTCCATATGAATTCGAAGATCCTGTTCGCCATGCACGCTCGTTTTCACGAAATCACTTTGCAAGATTTTGCGTAATCATATATTCCCAATAGCCACTTTTTTGTGTGAGCATGTACTGCGCGTGTACATTTCGCTCTTTTGTTTATTCGATTAGGATTAGGCGATAAATTTGATAAGAATCTTGGGCTGGAATTACACGTGCAATTTTGTTGAGTGCGCACGGGCCCCATAAAAAAGTTTCCGTTCTCTCTTCTAAATCCATACAGGTAGTGTATAGTAGTCAAAAGGTGAACCATAAATGGCGAATAAAGCAAAAAGATTTAATCGAATATTAATGTGAAAATCGATTTGTTATATGCATGTATTTTGTAAGTATGAATACTTGTCTGCTGGTTTTGATGGGCATACCAAGCTGGTTGTTTCTTTTTTCTTGTCTTCTCATTTTGTAACGTTTTCTTTAGCGCCCACAAAACAACGGTCTGATTGCAATTTGTTAAAATGATTGAAATATACGACACGGCGGCTGTTTGGCTGAGATTTTTCGCTTGCCGTTCCGTAAAATATTATTTACATTATATAAATGCAAGCCATAAATTATGGCCATAGTTTTCTATATTTGAGGCAGCTACTACTTGGCAAAACAAAAAACAAACCAAAAAGAGAACCCGAAACCTCAGACAAAGAAATGGAGGAGATCACGATAGCTATGTTTATGGCGTTGTCAAAGTATCACTTGCCATTCTTCGACACAAACAATATTTTCCTTCATTTCTGTTATTGTTTCGATGTGTAAAGAAAATAGTTTCTCTTTGCGCTGGCAAAATCATTTGGTTTAACCCGTTTTGTTGAATAGCCGTTTTGTTGAATTCTGTCTCTTAATCTATCTCTCCGTCGGAGATCACATATTGCGTATTTATACGCAATATGATTTTTCCACACTGACGATGTGCTCTCTCTCTCTCGCGAGCGCATTGCACATTTAACCGGTAATCTGAACATATCACTCACTATCAAATATAATTTTTGCGTCTGACATTTGCATCGTAATCAAATGCAACGGTTTGCAAACAACACACGGGGAGGAATCGGTCAACGGTTCTTTCCGTACAAACAAAAACTAAATCTCCGCTCTTTATATTCGTAATAAAATATAATCAAACACAAAATGAGTGGTATTTATGAACATATTCATTTTATGACTACGATTTGCTGGTGAATTGGCTCTTTTTGAATGCTTCCGAAAAAAATTATAATTAAACATAGATTTTTGCGTGTTCTAATTCTGGAAACACAATTTTCTATTCCATTGAGATTAGAGAGTTCTGAGAATGTTGTCCTCCTGTCTATCATTCACATGCTGGAGTGGACGATACACAATTGGCAAATATGTGACACAGTTTCGTTTGCATTGTTCTACACGAACGAGCGTGTGCTCTTTCATTGTACGATGTGTTTAGAGTAATTTGTCGTTTTGCATTGTTCTTCATCATTTTTTTCTTTCAATCTCATTTCACAGTGATTGTGTGTTTCTTTTTTGTCGTGTTTGTACTTTGGCTGCGTGAGAAAACATATGTCGACCTGTAAATTCTTTGGCATAAACTGTAATACTATATTATTGTCAGCCGAAAGGCATGATTAGAAATGCTGTTCTGAATGAAATTCCGAAACATTTCACACACACTCACAAAAAAAAACTGAGTGGGCAGAAACGCTTTTCTTTTTATTTTACAAAGAATCACATGCACGCATCGCTATTATCACCGTTCGCAAAAGGATTTTCTCAATGAATTTATCTATTGTTCGTATGAAATACAGAAAACAAAACAAAAACTTGGCATTTTCAGAAAATTGGTGAAGGCAAATGAATAATAAAAAAAACACACAAATTTACAACTGAATCGAGACAGATACGCAGAGAGAATCGAGTGCATAATCATCGAAGTATAAGATCGCATCAATTGAAGTTTAATATTGGATGCAACATTCAGCGATGAACGTAACCAGAGTGAGAAAGAGAAAGAGCTCTGTGGTATGTTGATGCACATAAATTGTGCGTAAATAATGCTAATTTATTAATGATGTTAGTGGTGTCTTGGGAACTGGTCCAATTCTAAAGCCATTGTGCACATTGAATAAATGCGCACTGGTGAAAAGACAAACATGACATAATAATAACAGCGTATGTGTGTCTGCACTCTCTCTCTCTCTCTCTCTCTCTCTCTCTCTCTCTCTCTCTCTCTCGCCAGCCATCGAAAGCGTTGCCGCCGAAACTTATATTTATTTATGCATTGCATATGTAGAAAATTGAGTCGTTGCGTATTCCATTTGATAAATGTGTATTCTTATGTTGATATTATTTTTCTCTTTCTGTCTCTTCATCTTTCAAATATAATTTACTCCGGATTATTCCCTGCAAATGAGTAATTATTCCATTTTAAAATGGAAAATAAACTTTCAATAAGACCAATTGTTGGATTTCATCGTGTTCAAAGGTTGAAAATCTAACTCTATCTCTCTATCTATCTCTCTGGCAATAAAAACGCAGTCGGTGTAATTTACTTAATCAACGCACACCAAACACGATATCAAAATTTATATAAACACTCATTACACTTTCAAAGCTTTTTCGCCTACATTTCGTTCTTGTTTTCTTTATTTTTTTTGTCTACTCTATCTTTGTTTCTTTCGCTAATGTGAAGGAAAAAAAAAACAAATCATATATACAATAGTTTCATTTTCACTTTTGTGATTTTAATTTTGTTTTGTGTTTGTTGTTAAATTTTTTGAACTGATATACTCACTCAACACAGAGTCATGAGATGAGAGTTGTTGGTTTTAATTCAGTTCAATTTCAGGTTTTACTATTATTTTGTATAAAAAAAACCCATTAAGATTCTTTGGTAACATGTAACCAAATGTTTGTTATATGATAGGCACACACACTAATCGTTTTGTTCGCGAAATTCTTTGAATGAATTGTTGTTCAATGCAATACTTATTACTTACCATGAATGTCATCAACGCAAATGTTCAAATCCTCACGAAATGCATCCAGATGAGGTAGACACTGGCAGTTGCAGTCATCGTTTGTTCCGTGTTTTCCAATATCTGAAAATTTTCCCATGCACACAAAGAAGAAGAAGAAGAAAATCAGAAAGATAAATTGTAATGTCAGTTTCGGTGATGATTTCAAGTGTTAAATTGTACATGTCCACTGATAAATAATACCGCTACTTGTGCGGTGTGCATCCCACAATTAAGATGATGCGTGCATAAATGGTGGATAGTGCAGAGTATGACGTAGCGAGACTGTGCAATGACACACAGACCTGAAGAGTGTTCGTTTGCAATCAATGCAATAACAACGACACGACGACAAAAAGAAGACAACTACAACAAGAATAAAAAAGCGGTTGATAAATTACCTGATGCATCGTTACCGTTGGTGCCAGCAGTTCCGCTTGATAGGCCAACACATGTGTCCACATCGCATTTTGATTCATCTAAACCCATTTACAATGGAGAAAAATCGATCATTAACTCTTTACATATTATGTTGTTGTTGTTCTTGTTATTTCTACTTAAAAAAAAATCCTGTCGTAACAAGAAAGTAATGCAATTCTTCCCCGTTTTATCGATTAAAATCAATTGAATAGATCACTTGCTGAGACCGAGACATTGTTGAACACTTTCAAGAATTATTTTAATTACGGTTATTCATTGGGTTCACTTTGTTGAACGGAACATTTATCATTCTCTTTACACTCTTTGTACATGTGCATATGTCTATTTTCCATGACATGTGTGTGTGTGTTTAAACGGTGCTGAACATACGGCCACAATCCAATTATTTTGCAAACATTAAAAAAAAAAACACACGATGACGACGATGACTAAACGACGTCGAAACGAACTTGTTTAATGCACTCTTGCAATGGACATTCCATCAAATTGAACGCACATTCTCTCTATCTTATCTACTTTTCTCTCTTTCTATGTGAACGTATGCACAGTTTCATTTAATTGAGAGAGTGGCTGAGTGAGAGAATTGCCATTAATACCGTTTTATCGCGGAAGACACACGACCAAAAACTTGTTCCTTGATTAATATTCTACGTGTGTGCAACACAATCAACCAGAAGCAATAATAAGAACATCATCATCATCATCATCATCATCAAAACCAATTTTCATCCCAAACAAAATAACAACCTTCACATAGTTTTATGCATTTGCCCTTAAGAATTAGTTGATATATTAAATCGATTTATGATGATGGACAACGGCGACAACTACCACCACAATTAATCGAAAACGGCAGGAAAAATGCATTAAAATGTTACATTTTCAACTTTTACAAATACAAAAATAATGCTGCATTACGCATTTTTATGAAATATAATTATAATTTAAAGCTAATGAAAATATAAAATGTTTATTTTATATTTGAAAAGAAAAAAGGCAAACGACTTACCAAACGCTGTAAAAATATCACCACCATGTTGTCTTGTTAAATTTACCACCCGAATTGTTGTTGGCGAATTAACCGACGATGATGATGGTGGCAATACCAAAGAAGTTGGCATCGGTCCGGCATTGCATAGCATCGTTATGCCAATATAATCATTATAAATGTTTATTGCCATGAGGAAGACAATCATATAAATCCATGTACCTAACGCTTTGGTTTTGGCTCGAGGCGATTTTTGATTGATTTGAACAGGTGCTGTTGTTGATGTCAACGATGCCATCTTCGCGAATATTGATAATTTCATGTTTCAAATACTATTCCAATATATATATCAATTATTAATTTGATTGCAATAATCGGTTTAACCACAATCTCGTTGACTTTTCCCAAACACGACTGACAATCATCCATCTACTGTACAAGCCACACGGCATTTTCTGTATTGATAATGACAATGTTCTTTTAGTGTTATGTTTAGTGGTTCAACTGCTTGATAAAAGTAGAGAAAATAAATGATTTGTTTACTTACATTGCGTTTATGATCGGTGGCACATTCGAATGTTCGATGTGTGTGGTTTTTGTGCTTTGCAAACGAATCGTTACTAATTGACTGTAAATCGACATGCACTTGTATGATTTGTGTCACGTCTACTTTGTAATGAATTACTCTGCAAGAAAAAAAAACATAAAAAAGTAAGTAAACGACGGTGTTAGCTTTCATTAAGAAAATGAACATGTTTTTTTAAAGCAACAAAAAATCCATTAGAATAGACAAGGCACAACAGAAAGTGACTGTATTTTTAACTTCCTTGAGTTTTTTTTTGTGTGTGTCTTTGTCAGTTGATTTCTAAATTGAATTTCGTCATTTTGAATAAATCACAGTGATGAACTCCAAACGAACAAATTATTAACACTGAATGAAACGGTTTATAGAATGAAAATTCCCATATCTGGCAACCGTTTATCATTGCCTTCCTACTGTTTTGTTAGCTATAACAAAAATCACACACCAAACCAACAGAAAAAAAACCTGAATTGAAGACAAATATTCTCCTGAAACTCAACTCATTCATGCAGAGTGGAACGCTGGTAATAATAATTCATTTGTGATGACATGAAAATCGTGCCGAGAACAGAGCACAAAAAAGAAACAAGAGAAGAACGAACAAAAAATCTATATAGCGTCACTGCAATTACTCTTTGGCACTGGTAGGCAAGCGGGCGAGTACTTCGTGTTGTTTAATATGTTTGCAGCATAAAACGAAACATAGACGGTATCGGAAACATTGGCCGTTAAGTTAAGCGATGCAAAATTATTGGTATTGAGCTTTTGTTTTCCTTTCGTTCGATGACACCTTGTACTAATGGAACTTGTGTGCGCAATTTTAACAACAGTAAACACTTTAAAACATGACACTCGCCGTGGTGTATGTATAACAACCGTACGAAACATAGAGATTTCATTGGCCATTTAACAAAAGAGTCTCTCTAATGTACAACAAATTATCTGGCATATGGTACAAATTGTGTGTGTATATATGCACTTCAAATTAGCCCAAAGAGATCGACATGGTCGATCAAAACCAATTTGTTTAAACGTATGTTCAAATCAAAAACAAATCTGTAAATAAACTTTGGTCGAATGAAGTCTAAATGACTGCAAGCGGCGCACACCATTTCATTCCCTTTGCTGTGATAACAACACACATTCAATATCACTCATATGTAAAAACGAACAAAACCAGCTGCATGCAAAACTCATCTTCGTTCCTGTTAGATTCTAATGCGATGCATTGCAGCACTCGGTCATTTCGATTAATCGATATTTACATATGAATGGGGTAGAATAAAAACTACTTCTCGAAAAATTGCTATTTTAAAACGAAACCTAAAAAAAATTTCAATAAAAAGTGAATCAATTTTTTTTTGTCCAATTGAAGTGAATCAAGAAAATTTTGTTCAATAAAAGTGAACCAAAAAAAAAAATTTCACTCGGTTTTTTCAGTGTAAAATATACTAAAATGAATTTTTTTTTTGGGTTCACTTTTATTGAACAATTTTTTTTTGGTTCACTTCAATTGGACGAAAAAAAATTGATTCACTTTTCATTGAAAGTTTTTTTTAGGTTTCGTGTTTAAACATTTTTCGAGAAGTAGTTTTTATTCTACCCCATTCATATATCGTTCAATCAAAGTACGCATCGTACGCAAGCAATGCAATTATTAAAATGTGCATATTCTATGGAATTCTTGACCGATTATTATTATTATTATTGTGAGTGTGTATGTACTTTTTTTCTATATTTAATTCGCTCTTATCACAGATAGTTACAGGTTTCTTTTCTTCTTGGTCATTCTTCTTTTTCAAATAACTGTATCAACTTCGGTGTGGCTGGCCTCGGTCACATTTGAAAGTATGATAAGTAGATAAAAAAAGAGATGAAGAACCGAGTCAAGTAGTAAAGTAACGTCATTACTGATTTGCAATGATAACATAGTTTATGCGGTAGAATATTCTTTTTGTTTTTGTTTTTCTTTCCGGGGCTGCAACATGCTGCGCACAGTATAATTTAAACACAGTATGCACAGTAGTCAGTGGGTATCTGGAAATGGGCTAAATAAGATCATACAACGGCGTGATTCTTGAGTTCGGCGACATTGTCTGTTGTGCGGAGAGAAAACAAGAAATTGTCAAGATGCTTACAAATCATGTTAATTCTCTTGTGCCATTGCATTGCATACTTTGATCGGTCAGAGAATCCATCTTTCTCGATTTTCATCTGCATACACATTACCAAGTTCAATCAATTAATTCGGGTAGTGAAATAATTGCATGCTGAATTTTCATTGGTCATTCACTGTTTATAATTGTAAATAATGCACACAAGGCTATAATAATAATTGGTATAAGGTCTATGAAGAGACAAAAAAAAACTGGCTGAGATTCAATTCGAAAGGAATGAATCGAAGAAAAGAACAGATCAAACGGTAACAACCGACGCTTTTTTTCGCTGGCTACAGCTAAAAATCAAATGTGAATAGTGCAGAGTAGCAGTTCATTCAAAACATATGGATCACGCAATGTACTAATAAAAATGATTTTGAATTGGGCAAACATGCACTGTATGCAAATATTTTCATTCCATACACTATGCATACAGAAATGTATCATTTAATCAAAATACAAAGATCATCACTTCTTTTTCTCTGTTCTCCGAAGGTGATCAAAACGAAAAATGTGCCGTCAACACTGCGAATATTTTTGAAAAAACGCTCCGGACAAGTGTTCGTTCTTTCGAGGTTTTTTTTTATAGCTTCGGTTGTTTTTATAACCAATGTCATAAAAATTGTACAAATGGCAAAATAAAGTAAACTCCAAATTTAACAGGAGAATAAAACAGCTGAATTTAGTTGCATTTGCATAGTGGTTTTTCATACTTAAATGAAACCTGACACAGACAGAATATTCAACATCTTATTTTGGCATTATCATCATTTCTCTTGGTCTTGAAGTGATTCAGTGTGAATTTTTTGTCCGAAGTCAGTGTCCAGTGAAACATAAAACTGTATGCATTGACATTTCTCTCCATCCATCTCTCTCTCTCTCTCGCGCGGTACATTTCACGCCATTTTCGACATGTTCATCAATTGATTTGAATTGATGTTTTACAGTTCATAGCTCCATGACAAATCATTTGCATTTTTACAGCAAACGAAATGCACAACCTTATCGAAATGATTTTTTGCGCGGCCTGCTCACAAACGAAATGCATTGCATCTCTGCCTCAATATTATCAATGTCATTTTATAGTTTCCAACAACAATTTTTTAGTGTCGAAAATGAAAACCAAACAAACGAACAAGTAATCTCTGATCCAATGAAAATGAAATGTCTTTATTTTTTTTCGCATCTCAATGGGCGCCCAATGTTCGTCATTTGCGTTCCGTACTGTTTTTCTCTCTCTGCTGTTTGCTTTGGTGTTCTTTTAGTGTAAATGTAGCGGCACTTGACGATATTGCTCCCAGCCATAATAATGGTTATTTATGACTTGGTTTTATTCGTTTGGTTGTTTTTTTTTTCTTCAAATTCGTTCTTCATTTTTGTGAGCATACCGCAACAAATTTTAGTCAATCAATTCGTTGCGATTACTTTAAGCGATCGCACCGGAGGATATTTTATTTCATTTCCAAACCATAAAATTACTCAATTTCGAAGGGAGATTTTGACGAGACATTTTTGATACTTGTATTTGTGTATAAATGCAAGCAAAAATGATATGCAGTTTCTGTTAATGTTTGTTTTTTTTCTCTTGCAAAAATGTCGCCGCAGGAACGCCAATTTTAATTTCATGCATTCAAATAAATGAAGAAAAAAAAGGCAAAGAAGATTTGTGCTGTTCGCACAAATTTACAATAATAAAAATGCAGAAATGCATCGCATGAATTCGAACGGCTACTGTAAATTTGAATGGGGTAGAATAAAAACTACTTCTCGAAAAATGTTTAAACACGAAACCTAAAAAAAATTTTCAATGAAAAGTGAATCAATTTTTTTTCGTCCAATTGAAGTGAACCAAAAAAAAATTGTTCAATAAAAGTGAATCCAAAAAAAAAATTCATTTTAGTGTATTTTACACTGAAAAAACCGAGTGAAATTTTTTTTTTGGTTCACTTTTATTGAACAAAATTTTCTTGATTCACTTCAATTGGACAAAAAAAAATTGATTCACTTTTTATTGAAATTTTTTTTAGGTTTCTTTTTAAAATAGCAATTTTTCGAGAAGTAGTTTTTATTCTACCCCATTCATTTATGGCTTGGAATTCTTAAAATCCATCCTATTTTATGCAAAACGTTGACCATTTTTCATATGACCGGAGATGATGATGACTCGATTGTGGGATGCGTTTTTCCACTTCACACAAAAAAATCGTATCGACCATAAAATAGATTAAAACGCTAATAAATTCAACCAGTCGGACCAGACGTAAACTGGTCACTTTTCAAATGGAATTGAACCGTGGCAAAGTACAGCTTGACAACGTTCATGTCAAACGCAATGAATTTTCAATCACAATTTCTCGGCAAATAAACGGTTTCCTGTGCTTCTTTTTTTTTGTTCATTCATAGAATTTTGTTTGCTTTAGTTGCATCAATCGAATTGTTGAGAATAAAAGTTGCCCATTCCTCTCTTTTTCTCGCTCAGAAAAGTACAAGCACACTGATTCTCCCCTGTCAATGCTAAAATGAATGTGACAGCAGAGCAAAATGATATGGTGAGTTTGCTCGTTCTTTCCTGAGCAAAAGCCAAAGATTAGATGCCAGATCTCATGTTTGTTCTCAGCTATTCAATTGTGCTTACATTGCATGAAAATGCAGCGGTAATTTGATATTAAATCGTAAATAAAATTGTTCAAACAAGATGTGCTAAGGTTTTTCGGCATGCGCTCACGTAATCGCGCACCGTTCGACATACACACCAAACTCCTGATGAATTATTGAAGATCGAATGCATTGTAATAGAGTGTGTGTGTGTGAGCTTGTGCTTGTGCGAATATCAAATGTGTGTGCGATCGTATAAATTTTGATCGTTTTCATTCATCTAAGGAGCGAGTACGACGTTTCCCCCTTTGCTAAGCGAAATTAATCCGATATACGGCGCTGATGTAAA